TTTAGGAGCTTTAATGAACATGTAGAGGATCGTCACTTATGAAGTATTGTGAATTGAATACTTTGAAACTCGTATCTTATTGGTCAAGGCTGTTCATACCTACTATTTTTTTTTTTTTTAAGTCAGTTAATCTTTTAGCTAAAGATTTTCTATTGTCTTCACACCGGAGTGCAACTCTCCAAAAAGGATATTGAGGGGTTATAACCATATTCTTGTTCAGCTAATGTTTCTGTTGGCAACTCTCCATCCCAAAATGAGTGTTTTGCATGCTGAGATGGTTTGGAAAGCAGCTCTGGGTTCAGTGCCAGTGGTCCGTTTGACACGAGCGTTGGCATCCTGCTACGCGTAACTCGGCTCCTCGTCCTCTTGCAAAGAATTCAAGAGGCGTTTGCAAAAGGCGCGTTTTTAATGTTCGCTTTTAAACGCAGCACTGTGAAAATATGTATGAACAGAGACCACAGACAGGGAGAGGGGCGGGAAAAAAAGAATCAACATTCAAATTGGATGGAATAACATTAAGGCAGTTGGCATGTTTTTTAAAAAGGCTTTTAGCTGCAGAATGTAAAACAGAGAAAGTTGTGACAATGGTAGAGGTGGAATATTATGAGCAGCCTTCCTTGCTTCCCTGGGAGAGTTTCATGGAGTGCTTTCTCACTGTGATAATGAAATGACCTGGCCTGCACCGCTCTGCTCTCTCTCTCTCTCAAAAACACATCTGCGAGACGAGGGTGAAAATGAGAAAATCCTGCCTCCTCTCTCGAGTTTCGTAAAGCATACTTTCAATATTCTCTTTCTCGGAGAATGATGGCAGTTTGAGTGAGTGCGGGCTTCTGTGTCCTTGTGAGCTCTCTGCGTCGCTCCGCCTCAGCATCCACGCGTTACTTTGTGAGTGCATGCACACACACACGTGCATGTGTGTGTGTGTGTGTGTGTGTGTGTGTGTGTGTGTGTGTGTGTGTGTGTGTGTGTGTGTGTGTGTGTGTGTGAGGCTTGTGGATGCTAAAACCGCTCCGAATGACTTGTAATAAAGTGCATTTGAAGCATATTGAACATAACAGGGCAGCATACAGAAATCCAGCTGCTTGAAATCCCATTGAGTTGTCATTGTAACAGTGTTTTCGTAACTTAATTTCTGTAGATTTCATGCAGCAAAATCAATACAATAAGCGGTAAAACTCAGATCAAAGGCTGCAGCTTTTTCCCGTATCGAGGTTAAATCCAATAAGGTAAACTGGAGCCGCTGTTGAGGGGCCCTGGTAGACTCTCAGGCCGTGCCACGCTGAATCAGAGGAGTGACTCACCGGTTTTGGAACAGCACACAGGCTGCACGCAGACTTTGTATTCCCAACCCTTCTAGTTAACGGGGGAATCTATGGCAGAGCTGAGGCAGAGCGCTGTCATTGAGTTACGTAATCAACAGAGGCGAGAGTGCGTGTGCGAGAGAGCGCGTGTGCGGGCCTCGTGCATTCATGAAGCTGCGACTCTCCTCACGCGGCACGCAGAAGCCAATCTGACACAAAGCTGCTGAAGTTGGACTTTAAGCAAACGCAGAACAATGGAGTCCATGTATGACGACGCTGGTGTTTCTACTTAAAAAAAAAAAAAGAAAAGAAAAAAGCATTGACAAGGATGAGGAGAAAGAGGCGAGCAACATGCAGGGCGTAAGGAGGTTCATCCTGCAAATTGAGCCAGTTGAGTCAGTGTTAAATCAGAAGGCTCCAGTTATTTATGTATGTCTTTGTGTTTTTACAAATTATTAAACAGACTTATTCAAGTTGTAATACCTGGATATTTTTATTAGCAAGAAGCACCTGTATCAGATTACAGCTTTAACTGTAGGAAGTTCCTATAAAGACTTACTCAAAAAAGACTGAAATCAGGAATATGAGTTGGTCTCAAAGTCGTGTCAACCAAAGCTCCAACCATCATCATCAGAATCGTTAGTGTCAGAAATATCACTGTCCTCTTCAGAAGCTGTAACCAATTTGTTGTATGTATAAGATTCTCATCTACGATGCTTAAAGTAAGAAGTGAAATATACAAACATCAGAGGTCGCTGCTATTAAATGTAAATCTGCAGCATGCCAGTAGGCTGAGATTCTCCCAATGCAGGTTTGGCAGACATAGCTTAAACGTTTTCTGCCAATTTAGTCATTTAATATCAGATTACTATTTTGAGCTCTTACTGAATCCCATGAGTTACGCAATAGAAAGGAGTTGTTTTGTTATTCTTTGTAATGGGTTTTGCTTCATGACTTTGTCTTATTTATGGGGCTGCAGGAGGACAGCCTGGCCCAGGGCTCCATTTAGAGAACCGCCATCGTTCCCATGCATGGATGGTTGCTTTCCTTTATTGCAGTGCTGTGTGTTTGTGGACGGGCCAAGCCTTTGTACTTTACATACATGTGTAAACGCCTGCACCCCCCATTTCGTTTTTGTGGAAGGCAATTTTCTACCCACTTGGCATTAGACGTTCCTCCTGCTCAACGCTGCCATCTGGCTTCGGCGAGCGCCGTTGCAGAATTCCTCGGGGGACCCATCCGGGCGAGTCAGCGTCTGCCTTTAACAACAGTTTTGGGATCGGCCGTCCGCTGGGCTGGTGCTAACTCACCCTATTATGAGCGGGATGATAAAACTGACCTTGAAGCAGTTATGGGCCTTGGGATAATGGAAACCCACTGATAGAGAGCCCATGAAACACCACTCGGGCTTTGGTGACAAAAGAAAATAATGGTTCAACCACATCGCCACGTTCTGAGCGCTATTTAAAATTTTATTAGCGGACATTTTGCACACTGGTGCTAAACTAGCAGTGACGAATTAAGGGATTCATCAATGTATCTATAATCACCATAATTCTGCATGTTAGGAATGAAGACTTATGGTTTTAATAAAACCAGAACTAACTTTATATGATTCCTTTTTTTTTTTTTTTTTTCTAGTGTATTCTCCCACTGTGAAATTAAAACCAATACAGTCAGCTCCTTTCTGGACTCCAGGCTGAAATCTGCACTTACATAAAATAATAAAGCAAAAGCGACCAGTGGAGAAACACAAGTAGGTCAAACTGAGGCCGTAGCATTTGTATGGGTCATAGTGAAAGTGCTCATATGTATGCAGGCTTATGGGCCCCCTGGGAGCGTTGGGCTGACCTTGTAGCGTACTCTGATCTATGTCCTCATCTCCCCTCTATGCCCTCTTTTCCTAATTCCTCCCTCTGTCTTCCCCTCCGTTCTTTTTTTTTATTTTTTTATTACCACACTTCCCTCTCCTCAAACACCTGCCTCACATGCAATCCAACTCCACCTCATTCTCTTAATGTGCTTTCTGTTTGCCGTCTACACCCCCCACTTCCCCTCTGATGACTTCCTTTATTCGCGCGCTCTCGCTTTTTTACTCATTCTAACTCCCCCTGTCCGTTTTCCTTATCCCCGCTCGTCCTTTTTTCCATATCAACAGCCAGTCTGATAAATAATGCATCACAGCACATTACAAACATTAGTAGGGTTCTCTCGGCCCGTCAAAGAGAGGGAGGAGACGAGACGGTGGGGGGAGAGGAATGGGTAGCTCCGGTTTTGAATAAGCGTTGTGGAGAACGGTCGGGTTTGATACGAGCCGCCGGAGGAGGTTGGAGGTGTGGGCTGAAACGTTTCGCCCCGTGTGGACGCGCTTCGCTTCGCATTTCGAAAAAGCTTGCAGCGTTATAAAGATGATGACTTTATCCACAAACTCAAAACAAAAAAAACAAAAAACGTATTCACAATTTGCAAAACAAAGATTGCACCAGAAAATAATAATAAAAAAACCTTCCAAATTTTTTTCTTTTACCTTTCATCTTTCAGATTCCACCATCTCCTCCTTTCCTGTGCTCTCCTCTCCCTCCATCCCTCCTGGCAGCGTGGCGATTGGCATTATTAAAAATTGATTGGCGGAGAGCGTTTAGCAGGGTGGCGAGGCGGAGAGGGAAATTTTGACAGGCAGGAGTGAAATGAAAGGAGAGCCTCGGCGGACATAGTGTGGAAAGGTCTCAGTGGGGGACAGAGAGTGTGTAGGTGTGTGCGCGCGTGTGTGTGTGTGTGTACTAAAAGAAGATTGGCCAGGACATTTTGTAGTGTGAACCAGCAGTTTGAGAACTCATGCAGGAGGAGTTTGTACTCTGGTGCCTGAATTAAAGCTTTCAACGTTTGATGAAACGTCAATCATGCCGGGCAATGAAGCCATGTGGCAAAAAAACTAACAATCCACCTCCCCTGTACCGACGATGAAACGTGGTGGTGACGACACCACGCTGTGAGGACGCGTTTCATCTGTATGTGCAGGGAAGCTGGTTGGACTTTGAGATAAATGGAGCAAAATACAGGAGAATCATCAGAGGAAACCTGTTAGGAGCTGCAGATGAGCTGAAACTGTGTTGGCGGTTCGCTTTCCAGCTGGTTAACAAGCCTGAACACACACCCCGAGCCACAACAGTGAGGTTTAGTGGGTTAGAATGGCCAAGTTAAAAGAAAATGACCCACGTCCAGCGTAAAGAAAGACTTGGAAAACTGTTGCTTACAATCCTCCTCTATTCAGTCTAACTGAGCTCCGGGTTCTCAAGAATTTGAATAAATGTGTGCATGAGTGTCCGAATTCACATCGATATTTAACACAGTGAATTATGATGGCATGCGCGTAGCTCTGCTGACCCTCTGTTATCTCTCCTCCATCGTTCCTGTCCTCCCTCTGCTGATCCCTTCTCTCCCCCTTTCATCTCAGATCAAATAATATTTCCAGCCCATAGAACCAACAAGCCATCCCCCCGATGGCCACGAGCGCTGCAGCTTTGGAGATTTCTAATGCACTTAAATTGTCATTTGCTTGAGTCATTTTACGAACGTTGTATTGAGGGTGTGAGGGGGGAGGTGAAAGCATGCAACCATTACATGATGCTAACCGGCCTCTTCTTCTTTCTCTTTTTTTGTTCCCTCTCGCTCCTCTTTTTCTCTCTCAAACTGTCACAGATGAACAGACCGATCCAGGTGAAGCCAGCAGACAGTGAGAGTCGAGGAGGTAGTGTATGCCCTTCCTTGCTTTTTTTTTTTTTTTTTGTTAAACTTTATTTTCCTTCCACCCTCCCTTTCTTTTTACTCCAACCTTGCTGCCTGCATACATCAGCCTCACCATTATCTGTCCCGTCGAGACGACGGCCAGCGCCTCGACGCGGGCTGACAGCGCAGCCTGGCCCCGGACCCTCCAGCGTTCAGAACGCATTATGTAAACAAACCCCCCGCCCCCCACGCCCGCCTCCGGCCGGCTCAGCCTGCAGCTCCTGTCTGTCGTCATATGCGACGTGAAGAAAAGCACACGTCTTGTCATGCAAGAAAACAAAGTTGCTTCCTCTGTCAAAAGCACCTGTAAAAATCAGTTTGCAACAATGCAAACCTTGTTGGACTTGTGTCACAGCAAAGTGCAGATTAAATGTTCTTCGGGGGTAAAAGGTGTTTTTTTTTTTTTCTTTTCACACAGGGAGCTTTATTGACAGCCAAGATGGCTCAAAGGAAATTTTCTATGTCTAGACATTTGGTGACCCACTCTTGACATCAATCACAGGGCTGTGCGAGATAAGACCAAAGCCATCTTTTTGCCCAGAGTGTCTCAGACCTTCAAGTGGTTAATATAATTGGCAACAAAGTGATTTTTTTCCTCTTTTTTTTTTATCCACAAACAAGAGGGGAGAGAAACAGCAACGCAACATGGAAATGGCTAAAGGTTGACAAGCAACAGAAGTCTAGGGAGAGAAAGTAGAGGCGTTACTCTGTTGTTAAAAAAAAAAAGGAAAATAACCTTTAAAGAAAGGAAGAGAGGCTGTGCAACATCCTCCTCTATTTAGTCTGCCTGCTGTCGGGGTGTGTGGAGGGGAGTGGAGGGTGATTGATGGAGCGGGAGAAAACTGAAGCAAGCAGCGAGCGGGAGGAAACAAAGAGCGAGCAGCAGAAGACATGCATACGCGTCTGTACGGGAGGTCTATCTGTTCCTGTACGGATGTCCTTCCCTCTCGTCTCTCATCTGTTCTCCACGCTGCAAAGTTTCAAAGCTAAACGCCGCGCCGCCAGGGCACAACGTCTCACAGAGCCGAGTGGAAAAGGGGGGCGCCGTGCCTGGCAGGTTCCATCGGTGTGACGCGTTTCAGCCACGAGATCCGTCTCGTTTTATCTGGTGGACACAAAGTAGTGCAAGTAGTGCACTGTGAAGGGGGAGGAAAAATGAAAATAATAAGTAAATAAATGAAGGGGGTCCCTTTACCATGAAACAACTAGATGAAATGCAGTGCAGCTCTCTGTGTAAATCATAGAGAAGTAGACTCACTAATCCTAAAACCATAAAATCCACAGTGAAATTATCATTAGGTGTAGTAGTAGGAGTGGTAATTGGATTTTTATGACCTTTTGAACTTTAAGTGCCTTTTGGTCAGCTGGTCTGCTTAAAAGTGTGTGATTGATTGTTTTGACTTTGACTCTGAACTGTAATTTTATTTAAAAAGAGACAATGTACAATTAAATTAAGTAAACGTCACCATGTGACGCCCTGTATCAGACTGTAACTTTTAAACATCACATCCGCAGTCCTTTGACAGATCAAGGTAAGAAAAGAAACTTACCTTCTTCTGGCAGGACAGATCAATTTATATTCAAAAATAGTTCAAAATCATGTAAAATAATTCACATCACAATTATATAGTATTTCATGTTGGTTTATCAAAAAATTAATGGCCACTATTGCAAAGGAAAACATATTATTGCCAGTGTTTGTAACAAATACTTGCTGCAGTTGCCAAAAGGATTTACAACTTAGTGATTTGAAAGTGGAATACTTAAAGTTCCTAATATAGTCCAAAAATAAATGCAAATGTATTGATCAGTATAGATCAGGACTGCAGAAAAACTTGACACGTTTAAAGAAAGTGTAAATCTATGGATATTAAACGAAGAGCTAAAGACTGACTAGTTTAACACCGCCTCAGAGAAGGAAAGGCTTTGTTTGCTTTGAGCCGAGTGAAACTGGCTTAAATGGAGATGTCTGTTTACTGTCTGTACAGTAGGATATTCAGGAAAATATTTCCCCCCTCATTGTTTTCCCCTGCAAACACAAGTTTGAACTTTGTTTAGCTTGGACAGTGGATCCAAAGTCAGAGCAAATCCAAACCCATCCAAGTTTACGCATTCATCATGAGTGCAGATATTAAAATGTTTCCAGATATGTCATTATGCATTTATTGTTTGTTTTTCAGGTAGAAATATTCATACAACAAGCAACTTCATTAAATCCCCAGCTGTAGGAATTGTGTAAAAAAGTTTTAAATAAATGCTAATTTTCTGAAATCCAGTTTAGAATTACACAAATACATAATGCATAACCCCACTAATATCTAATACTTGGATGAATGTTATTTAGCAAGCTGAAGAGAAATCATGTTACGGTCCAGGCTTTGTTTAGGCTGAAGATTTGACCAGTTTTTTTTCTTTTTTTTTTTAGAAAGGGTAGAGAGTTAATTTAAATTGTTTGGCTTCCTGGCACTGACTCAGTTTTTAATCACGGTCCACAAATTATCAGTATGACTGAGACCAGAGCTGAGAAAACTTAAGTCAGGGCTTCCGTGATTAACTTTGATGTGTTTTGGATCACTGTCAGGTCGGAAAACCCGACTTTCAGGCCAAACTGGGCCAAAACTGTCAGCTTTAGATGAGAGGAGATGCTGGGTAGGTTCAAGACCGACCCAGGAGAACATACTGATACACCAGAGTCACAACCCAACAAAAAAACGTTTTCTGGTCAGATTTTATATGAGCTGTTTGGTTCCACTGACAGAGAAATCTAGACATGTGGAGACTAGGAAAGGCTTTCAGGCCTAAGAACTCTGCATCAAATGTCAAACACGGTGGTGGTAGCATCATGCTGAGGCTCTGCTTCTCTGACAGTGATACTAATGAATTGCACATAATGGGTGGCATAATGAAAATAAAACACTACCTTCAAATTATTTCACAAAACAGCTTGTCGCAACTGGACCACGGTCCCAAACTGGGTTTGGACCAGATTAACCAGAACATTAACATTCTGGTTTGACTCCAACTTCAGCACCATAAAAAATGAATAGATCACACTTTAAAGCAAGAGAAACCAATCGATTAAAAGGAGCTTTACTGATTCTGATAAGAGGAGTGAAACCTTTGGACAGAAACATGCCTGAGGCCTGCTGATGGCTGCAAAAAAAGAGCTTTAGCTGTGACTTGCTCGAGGATATTTATCCGAATACTTGTGTGTGCGCCTGCTGTAGTGTTTGTTCAGTCTGGGGGCTGACAGTTCCTTCACCGTGTTTGTACCAACGGAGAAACACGTCCGACTGTCCGGACGACAAACCCAACTTACAACTGAAGATTAAACGTCGAAAATAAACTGAAACATCTGCCAAGCCTTTAAAGAATACTAAATATTAACTGTGACATGTCACAAACGTAGGTTTGTTGTAAGAATTAGAAAACAAATTCAATACCAACACTTTGCCTGCCTGATATTATAGCTGAAGAATAATATTAAAAAAAAAACGCTATTACAAAATATCATAAAACAAGGCACAGCTTATTTTAAGCTATCCATTGGTAGGTATTTATATTTTGACATTAAATGTGTTGGGAAAGTTAAGCTTTCTAATAAAAAATTGTGCTTTAAGGTGAGATGTTGGAAATCTATAAAACATCACAGAGGCTGTGAATAAAGAGGATTTCTGATATTAGTCATAAAATAAGACATTTTGTGAACATTCTAGGAAAACTAGATGATCAGGACTGACTTGTACTCTCTGCACGCGTGTGAGTAAGTGAGCTGCTCTTAATACTCAGATTTCACCTCATATTTCCCACCAAGATGCTAAGGAGAGTCGTGTGTGTGTGTGTGTGTGTGTGTGTGTGTGTGTGTGTCTGCAGAGGTGTGTGTCCTCCCACTGTGATATGAGGTGCACTCTTGTAAACACTCGTTCCAACCCAGCCCACCCGGTGCAAGGCCGGAGCGCAGATTAGTCTTGTTGACTCGGCAAGGACGCCCTGTTAAGCACAGGCAGAGGGGGGGAACGGACGCTCGGCGCAGCCGGCGCGCGCGCCCTCACTCTGCAGGCGCCCACAGAGAATCCGCATCTGCACACGCGTTAATTTGCAGAGCACTTCTTTTTTTTTTTCCGCAGGCGATTGCTCTGCGGCTCATCAATTTCTAAACAGCACATCCATTCCCCGCAAATCTGAATGTTTATGGCAGGTGAAGAAAGGAAACATGTCGATGCACTTCTTTCGTCAAATGTAAGCCGGTGCTCTAGTCCGCCTTTAAAACCCAGGATGCAAGACCACTCCCAGAAACTTGTATATCAAAAGTTATACCGTATTTTAATATACATTCACAACACAAACTATGTACTTCAAGCATCATTTTGTGTTGTCCCGTGTAATTTCTATTAATTTTGATGTTCAGATCCGATGTAAACTCAAGATCCGGAAAAATATTTTTACTGAGACGCATAAATCTTAATACAATGCAGCGGCCATTGTTCCTTTTTCCTCAATTTCCTAAATTTGCTGAATGATGTCAAAGCAGGAATTGGTAGTTTTGGGATAATAGGCAGACGTCAAGACCTTCTGGAAAATGATATTAGCATTTCACAAGAAGATATGATCGGATTTTTATCTATATTTCTTCTTATTAAGTTATTGATTTTCTTAAAAACATATCTAACCCTGTTCTTTTCTTCACTATCTCGCAAGTTCATAATTTTTGGTCGAATTTAAGAGACCTATTGACGACAAAGTAGGTTGTAAGCCTGCAGAAACTAAAGAATTGTTAAAAGTAGTAATAGAAAAAATGTTTTTGTTGTTATTTTACACAGTTTTGCTGTTAAAACTACATAATTCTATGTTGTAAAAATGTTATATTTCCATGCAATTTAATGTAGCCATAAGATGCACTCAAGCTGGTCTTTGGCCACTGATTGAACCGTAGGTTTTGATGCGCAGTTAATAACGATGCCGGCAAGCTTGTGGTTTGCACACAGAGTAAGATCCGGTGGAGCTGAACTTCGACTACAGCTAGATTTGAGCCCTGAGGACAGGAACACCAACGCATCTGTCTTTTCTCCCGCCTGACACCTGTGACAGGTGCAATTCCTTATCTACAGGAAGTGGGATCTTCTGATTCTGAGAAAAAAATAAAAAAATGCCAGATTCGTGTGACAGGTTGCGGCCATAAAGTATAACGTGTTATTTTAGTTTCTTTCTCCCTTTTAGTGAACTTTCAAAAGAACCTGTGCCGTGGCTGTTGCTCGCTCGCGTGTTGCAGACAGGAAATTATCTCTCAAAGCAAAAGGTCTAATAAGCGCCGTCCAACCTTCAGAAAAGAGCTCTTTATCTTCCTTTGATTTCTCTTGGATGTTATTGTCGTAGCAGTATTATATGTTGTAAAATCAGCAGGAATGACTACCCAGATCTCAATAGAGTTTTAAACAAAAGGAGCTTTTTAATGACCTGCAACATTAAAGCACAGCCAGCGGTGGAAAGAGGGAAGCTTTGCACGGCCTGTTTGTGCTGTGGCATTATTACCGGCACAGAGTCCAGATGGTACAAAGCAAGGGGCTGCAGATGAAGTCCAGAACTAATTGAATAACTGCAGCATTTATTTACTCCAGCGCCACCAGGCCGGCCTCTTCAGATGTGGAGTCGATGAATAGAAGTGAGTTTTCAACCGATGGCAACCTCTTCCCTTAGCCTTGAAGGGTTTAGACTCACTGCTAAAAAGCATTTTCAACAATAAAACACTATTGAGAACAGCTGATAACTTTTGGACTGATTTTAAAGGGCATTTTGAACTACTTTCATTCCTCAGTTGTTAAATACTAATAAAAACAGCAAAAGGACTTTCAAGTAAACTGGTATCATCTCTCATTTAACAACTATTTCTGAGTATCTTTCTATAAATGCTTTAAATGGTCGTTATATTTTTACCTCACTGTTCGTTTTCAAATGGATATTCAGCATCGCTAAAATACTCTACCGCAGTCGCGCCTCTGCACATCTGCTGCATGTTTCAGTGGTGATATGCTGCTTTAGGTAAATTAAATAAATGTCCCTACAAAGAACAGCCAAAATGTTAACTATGCCAAGCCTTTCTTTGGAGCAATGTAGCATGGTCGGTCAAAGAACCCAAGACTAAAGCAGGAGCTGAGAAGAATCCATTTAAAGTTCACTTTTTTGACATGTTTGGCGTTGAAGGCTACGGTGAAAGTGGGGCTTTTGATATTAAATAGCTTTCTGCACACAAATCCGTCTACTAACACGCTCACATCTCCTCTAGCTATCAAATTATTTCGGTGCCCTCAATAACTGGGGCCCAGATAAGCCTTTGCGAGAGTCCATTGAGGACGACACCATCTGTATTTGTTATTCTCAATTCTGCCCAACTAAACCAGGCTGCCACGGATTCATAATTTTTTGACACGTTGAAAAAAATCCTGCAGCATGAGATTTGCAACTCTGAAACACCAAATGTTCGGCTCTAGTTTGAAATGTTTCAGCAACAACCTGATAACAACCTTATTTTACCTCTTGCTACGCTGGGAAGACGCTCTATCTACACCGATAAGGATTTGTGTTTATTTCAACTAACAATTATCTGACCAACCTGGGGGTCACTCATTAACTTTGTTTAGACCATTACATTTTCATCCCTAGATGGTCAGGAACGAACAAAACAAGACAGTGATGGCATGTCGAAATTCTGTCTCAAATCAGTAAAATGATGCAAATTTTACCCGTTATCCCAACACAAAGGCACAAACAATCACGTCCTTTAAAAACGCAACAGCATTTGACAGTTTACCTTAAAAAAGTGAGACCAAAATTTTCAACACTGCAGCATTTTAGCTATTCTACATTGCTTTTGCTGCGTCACGTTAACACACGAACAACATGCGTGCTTGTGCATTACCACCAGCATCAAAACTGATCCACGCTAAGGCTTTCGCTAAACCTGCCTTTGATACCTTTTCTGTGTATTCCTAAGGCTTCCATCTGAAGGCACATCTGATCCTCTGATCATGACCTCCTCTCCCTTTCTTTTTAGAAGACAGAAAGCTCTTTGTGGGCATGCTTAACAAGCAGCAGTCAGAAGATGACGTGCGGCGCCTCTTTGAGTCCTTCGGCAGCATCGAGGAGTGCACCATCCTCCGAGGTCCCGATGGAAACAGCAAAGGTAGAATTTGTGACAATGATGACTTTTCTTTTCTTACCTCTCTGACACAAGTGAGCAAGCTCATGACCACAAAAGGAAATGCAATATAAAACAACCGTTTCATTCTGCAAGTTTCAACATAAGTTGAATCCGAAGGAAGGAAGAAAAATTAACTAAACTTCCTTGTTTAACCTCAGGCTTCATGTCAAAAACTAAAAAAAGGATCGTTTTAAAATGCTCTCCAGGTGCTCCACAGGTTCACTGGATAAAGTTCAGCAGTGGGATCAGCAGCCAATCAATGAGGTTCAGTGATAACTCGGCTTGATAATTGCAGTGTGCTTGATCATTCTGAGTCCTGCATGAAGCTCCATTAACGAGGCTCCGTCAGCTTGCTTACTCAGCTGGATTTGCCCAATAATTACTGCGAACGTGACCATTCAGATTCATCAGTGACACTTGTCAGTGTGAAGCAGCGTCAGAATGCAGCGGATCCCACACTGGTGCCAAAGCGGCTCGTTTTGTCAAGCGTCCAGTAGTGTAACAAAATGCAAGGAGCTGGACTCCTAACTCAGGCCTTTGTGTGTGTGTGTGTGTGTGTGTGTGTGTGTGTGGGGGTGGGGGTGTGTGTGTGTGTGTGTGCGTGCGTGTGTGTGTTGTTACTAGAAATGCTGTTGCTTTTGTTCTCACCTCACTCGTTTCTTCTACTCTCCGGGTCTTTTTCCTCAGGTTGTGCGTTTGTAAAATACTCATCTCATGCTGAAGCTCAGGCAGCCATCGGTGCACTACACGGCAGCCAGACGATGCCTGTGAGTACCTTGTGGCTGTGAAGAGAAAGAAAACGATGAGTCACATAGCCAAAACAGTTACTTAGCACTTGATTGATCTTAAAAGTTTTAAACTTTATTATCCCCATGGAGGAGATTTGTCCTTTGGATGCAACCCATTCTAAATTTTTCAGTGGAGTGAGCACCAACTGTAGCCTTTATGCTTGGCAGGAAGCATAAAGGCACATGTGTGTGCAGCATGGGTGTGCAAGTACAAATGAAAGCTTATGTCCTCTGTCAATCGAACCACACTAACTTGTCCTGCCGGGTGTGTGTGTGCGTGCGTGGGTGTGGGTGGGTGTACAGGGTGCCTCGTCCAGTCTGGTGGTAAAGTTCGCTGACACGGATAAGGAGCGCACCATTCGCCGCATGCAGCAGATGGCTGGTCAGATGGGCATCTTCAACCCCATGGCCCTGCAGTTTGGAGCTTATGGAGCCTACGCTCAGGCAAGAGTCACACAGATACCTTTAGTTATTTTGTTTCCATCAAGAGTTATTTATGGCGAATAGTGTGTTAAACTCAAATTGTGACTAGATTGTTCCCCCTGGAACCAGTTCACATTTGTCATGTTGCAACCAGAACCGTTAAAGCTGCAACTTTTATAGTTTTTGTTGTTGTTAAAACAGTCAACTGGGACAGTAAACTGTGAAAAGATTGATCTCCTCCACTTCCTCCCTGTGCTACTACTGCTGTCTGAAGAGATGCAGTAGTAGATTGCTTCCACAGAAAAACAACCAACCAGAGTTTGTTAGTGCTGTCAATCACACCCTTGTAAATGCTGCTAAATGTACTAATAACTTGAGGTTAAAAGAAAACTGATCATCCACTGTCATTGGTGCCCATGCTAACTAGACTTTGCATTTATGGCTGGCCCTGCTGTCTTGAAGAAGCTACAGAAGCGATGGCGGGTGAGCAGCGCATACATAAGAATGATTGACAGCGATAATAACCTTTCTTCTAAACAACTTTATTGTAGCTCTAGTTGTATGCTAGGGGTTGGTGTTGTCCTGATGGAAAGTAAATCTCCACTCAAACTCAAGTTTTTTTCAGCCTCTAACTGGTTTTCTTTTGTATTTAGCATCTCTGGCCAACATTCCTGTCCCTACTATAAAAAAAAAAAAGTGTTTTTTTTTGTAAACCAAAATGCTGGTCTGACCAGCAAACCAAACTGTGAACAGGATTTCTTGTGGTTTTCCTTCTTGCCACTCTTTTATAAAGTCCACATCTTTGGAGAGGATAGTTATCAATCAGTTCTCCCACCTGAGATGCGGATCTCTGCAACTCCTCCAGAGTCCCGCTGACTTAAAACCCCTTCTTGACACTGTTTGTTCATTCACTTTACCTAATGAGTCTCTGCTGCTTCCACAGAGCAGATGGATTTATACTGAAATAGAGCTAAACCATGGTGAGAACCAGTTCATTGTTATTTAGGTCGTGCTCCGTTTTATTTTGTGGTGTCAGAGTAAAGAGGCTGAGCAGGAAAGCTTTCGACAGTTTAACTCATCTCCACTTCACGATGAATCGCCCTTCGGTGACAGTCTATGCAACGGTAATAAGACACATTGAATATGAGGTTTGAACATGGCAGAATGTGACAAAAGGTTCAAGGGTTGTGTATACAGCTCCATAAATATCAAATAATGTCCAAAGAGGAAATGGAGGTCATGTCAGATTTTCGCGTTAGTCTTAAAAAACAGGAGCTCGGTTTGGGGAATAGATATTCTGTAAGAATCAATACCTGGTTTCTACCTAATAGCCTCTTTTTCTTGTCTCTGCGCTGTACCTCATTTCACTTTATAGCCCTACTTCTTCCTTTTATCTGTCTTTCTCATCTCAGTGACCTCACAGACAGCGGCATTCCTTTTATTACTCTGTGCTCTGCTTTCTAATCCCATCTCCCATCCCCTTCCTCCTCCGCCTCCTCTTCCTCCTCCTCATCCTGCAGGTGCAGCAGCAGGCGGCGTTGATGGCGTCTGTAGGACAGGGGGGCTACCTCAGTCCTATGGCGGCCTTCGCAGCAGCCCAGATGCAGCACATGGCCACCATCAATGGCCTTCCCGGAGCACCGCTGACCCCCACATCAGGTATTAGCGCTGGAGGTCAGGGGTTAAAGGCCTGTTGGGAATAGCTAGCATGGAGGTAGCATTTTTGATTCTAACAAAATAGAAGAATTTCAGGGGACATTTTATTTCTTTTTTCTATACATATAAATATTAGGTGAAACTGGTCATAAGCGGTGTGTTCCCAATGATCATTCACTTCAAAAGTAAACTAAATATTAAAAAAAGAAAGAACTTCTATGAAGAATAGCAACATTATTATACAGTTTGCTTTAAGTCTTGTCAGAGGTGTCAATAATAATCGTGGAGCCGTCGCTGAAGGTGAAATGCATTGAAGCAAATGGATCAAATTCCAAGAATCCAACTGCGGCTGGGAAGATGTAGACACCTTTTTTTTTCTTTTTTCCCACTGCTCTGCAGGATTAGTTCAGCGACTCAGGTCTAATGGCTGTTGTGTAACCCTGAGGGTCACACGGGGCCAAGAAATCAGCCCTGACATTTAGTGTCTTCGCCAGTCCACTGGACCAGCCCCTCTGACATTTTCGTGACTCGGTAGCCGGTCGAAACCGAACTTTCCCATCATGTCTTCAGGAAGAGATAAAAAACAACAACAACAAAAAAAAAAAAAAACAATGTTTGTCAATGTTTCTGTGATTGCAGGTGGCAGCACTCCCCCAGGTATTAGCGCCCCCACAGTGACCAGCATCCCCTCCCCCATTAGCGTTAATGGTTTTACTGGCATGCCGCCGCCCCAGGCGAACGGGCAGCCGCCGGCAGAAGCTGTCTTCACCAACGGGATCCACCATTACCCGGGTAGGTTTGATTGTCTTCGGAGCATCTTTTAAGAAGTCACAGAAACAGCAGATTTTTTCCCCCGTTCTGTTTGCTGTGCTTGAAGATAGCAAAGCTTTATAGACACAGACCAGTTAGAAGCACGGCTCCAGATTGCACATCTTACCAGCTCTACAGCATGTTGTTAAGGGAAAATAAATGGCGTGCGGGTGAGCGCCTCTTCACCGTCCTAACGGTGCGAGTGTGAGCTTGTGTGGTGAGCCGTGGCTCGTGCTTTTTGTTTTTAATGTTTTTTAGTGAGGGGATGGATGAAGAAAACTCTTTCTGCTTTTTCCCTTTTACACTCTTGTCTCCACAGTGTTGCAGGAGGTGGTTTTTAGGGAGGACTCAGAGAAAAACGGCTTGGGCGTGGCTCCGCGGAGTTGTTTTGGGGTTCAGGGTGGCTGCTTCCTCTCCTCTCTCTCTGAAGGTAGCGCTCCTCTCCCACCCACCCTCACTCTCATCTCTCACCAGGCTTGAAACGGTCGGGAAGATCCAAATCCTAAATATTTTTGGGTTGTTGTGACATTTCTGAAGAAAACTGGGGGGGTTTCTAATCTCTGACAATGAACAAAATATCTCGAAGCTCATATATTGTATATGCATCCTCTAAATAGATCTCCCTATTAACAAAGAACATTCTAGTTTGTTTTGCAAAAACTACATAAAGTGATTTGTACATAAGCAACTTGTACAGCTCCTTCCAAAAGTATTAACAAATTCCGTCTGTGTGAAATTTAACGCCAGGGTAAAAACATTTGTTCTGCGAAGGCCTCCGAGAACATCGGGAAACAAACCGCGTCTAGAAAGAACTTGTCGGGGAGATAAAGACCAAGACTGACATAGAGAGACAGACCGGGCAAGAAGGGCAAGGATCTGAAAAGCTGCCTGCAGGCCGTTGGTAGCTCTGGGGGAGCTGCAGTGATTCACAGCGGAGACGGTAGAACGTGTTCGCAGGGCATCGTTCAGATAAGCGCTCCACAAATACAACCTTTATGAAAGAATTTTGCAATACTTTGTTTGAATCTTTTTGTGAAGTTTGTAGATTAGCTCAACTTCCTTTCCTGACTCACACCAAAAGTACAAAAATAAATAAAATTCAGGAGAGTCAAACGACACAAAGGCCGTTCGTGAAATGAAGCAACCTTTTCACATGACTATAAGGAACCTAATAGGTCTCTAGCATGGTGTCTCCGTAGGTCACCTTGCTAGTGACCCATCATGCTAGAACTCTTGTTGAATGTGAAGAAAACCTTGACTTGCTGCTCACAGATAGTCAGACTGAGCTGAAGAAGAAACTGAGAAAGGTTTCAAATCTTCGTCCGTCTCCGGCAGATCTGCAGAGTATTGACTCAGCATGTCGGACACAAATTATGAACCATATTTTTCTAGACCTTTACTTGCACAAAATGCTGAATTATATAAAATAAAAATAAAAATCCCTTTCCTTCCTCTTTAAAGCAATTCCCCATTTTATGTTGGTCTATCAAATGAAAGATTGCAATAAAAGGCTATATAAATGTGCAAAGTCTCAAGGTGTACTTCTGCGAGGCACCGAATCAGGGAATAACCAAATATCCTCTGAAATTTGCAATTAAATGACATTTTGAAAGTCGGACGTTTCCAAAGTTTAAGCAAGCACAAACTTCCAGTGAGACGCGCGCGCTCTCGACGGACTTGAGAAAGGCACGAGCGTGATCGTGACCTGAGAGTAACCTTTGCCTGTTGGCCCCCCCGCAAGCAAAACAGCGTCTCCCAGGTTGGAAAAGAAAGCGACAGTATGATTTCACACTCTGTAACTTTTATAGCGCTCTATTTTAGCCCTTACCTCTCCTCTTCCTCCAGGCCATCTGTGACTGGGTGTCAGTGTCGGTTCACAGTGGGTTCGATATTTTTCTCGGCTGTTTCGAGTCGCATTGGGTCTATCGGTGCGTGTGTGTGCGTGTGCGTCAGGTCTCAGTGTGCACGCGTTACACATGGAGACAGGTCAGGTAGCGAAACACGCGCACGCGCGCAGGTACGAACCTGGATGTGCGGCGCCAACTCGTGATGCCGGAAGCGTCCGCCGCTGCGCGTTTATCTTATATGAAAACCGTTTTGTAGGCTCTGGATTCGCTTTTGTTTGCTTGTTTCTTTCTCTTCTTCGTCTTCTTTGTTGTTTTTTGTTTTCTGCGCTGCGTTTTCGTCTCTTTACTTCCTCAGAGTTGTACTTGTTTTCAAGAGCAGCACACCAGAGCTACTTTGAAAACGCTTCAGCAGGAGCACCAAGTGAAAAGTTTTTGGACACACTGAAGGAAAAGCGAGCTGCCTCTAACCTCCCTGTCACTGTTCTCCTTGTTATCTCCTCCTCCGTGCCCTCTCTTCCATCTACATTCTCTGTCCGTCTCCTTCTCTCCTCCTCCTCCTCCTCCTCCTCCTCTCCCCGCTGAAGCAGCTCAGAGTCCCACCGCGGCCGACCCCCTCCAGCAGGCTTACACAGGAGTCCAGCAGTACGCAGGTCTGTCCGTCACTCTGTCCCTCCGTGTGTCTGTCTTTGGTTTACATCTGAGACCCTTTAAAAAATAAAATAAAGTAAAAAATAGAGGAGTGCAAAGATAAGCACTCCTGTTTTCAAATGAGGTATTTTGATCATGTAGCGTTCCCGGTCCAACCCGGATCGGTTTATTCTCTCCCCGGCGGTGTTTGTGCAACACGTAGACTCCATTGTGTGCGCTATCTGATCGATTGCTTGCTGTGCTCCTGCATATATATGTGCAATCCTATCACATTGTTTGTATGTATTCGAGTGTGCGCTGTGTTCAAGACTGTTATCTGATGCGTGGCGTGCGTGTGTGTGTGTGCGCGTGTGTGTGTGTGCGTGCGTGTCTTTGTGTGGGTCTCAGCAGCCTACCCCGCCGCATACGGTCAGATCAGCCAAGCCTTCCCCCATCCTCCACCCATCATTCCACAGCAGCAACGAGAAGGTAACACACACACACACACCCACACACACACACACACACACATACACACACACACACACCTATCCACGCACACAGACAGTACTGCAAACATTTCATTTTGCTCTTCTTTTCTTTCAAGCTTTTACTGCGTTGTTCTCCTTTGTGTCTGAGAGACTCAGGCAGCCATTCAATCAGATCAGCCGAATCTAAATGCTCCCAATTTTGTTCTCCGTAATTTGTGACAAATAATTTTGAAAAGATGAAAGGTCCTTTGAAAGTGAATTTTGAATCAAAGTAACAAGATTTAAAAAAAAAAAAAAAAAAAAAAAAACGAAGCATCTCCCAACTTTTGCTGTAAACCTGCTCATGTAAACTTGATGACCCCGAGGGGTAGCAGGCTCATGTCCGGGGCATTACTGCCCTCTAGTGGAGGAGATGAAAAGCGCTCCGATCCACCGTGACGAGTCTGTGGTTTTAGGCTGTTAGTGGTGATTTGGTAAAGGAAAACTAAACTATAAAGACGGGTGAACATGTTTAAAACTACTGTCAACTGATCAGAAGACACTCAGATACAAAAATAGGAGGAGAGGCAACTGTTTTACTGCAATTTCAGTCGGACAGCTCTGATAACCTCAGAGGAAAGTCATAGTATTACTTGGTTGGAGAGTCGACACCGGGTCACTGCATATGTAATTTGCATAAAGTGGAACCGCAGCAAAACAAAGGCTGAACGAGCGAGAAAGCGTCTCAAAGTGGTTACCATGGAGAATCTGTGCGACTGTGACTCTGTTTAGAGATGTTGAAGTTCCTGGTATTATGAACTCTTGGAAAACTATGAAGCTTTACAGGGGAAACGGTGAAAGGAAGGGTTGTCACTCTCCCCAGACCTGAATCCTGCTGAGAAACAAGCAAAAAAGAGAACCTGTGAAAATATGTGACTATTTAAACAAAATTACAAATAAAACTAGATATTTTCTTTATGATTATACTGAAAAACAAAACAGAACTTTTGACAAATCTTTACCAGACGTACCAGTTGTTTTGACTGAATCTTCTCTCAAGGTCAGTTTTTTTTTTTTAACTTACTTTTTTCTCACCCTGTCTTTCTCTTCTCCCCTCCTCTTCAACCGTCTCTCCCCTTTTTTCGTCCGTGTGTGTGTGCCTCCTTTTTGCTGTTCCCCTGCAGGTCCGGAGGGGTGCAACCTGTTCATCTACCACCTCCCTCAGGAGTTTGGGGATGGAGAGCTGATGCAGATGTTCCTGCCTTTCGGTAATGTCATCTCCTCCAAAGTGTTTGTGGATCGGGCGACAAACCAAAGTAAATGCTTTGGTGGGTAAAAATGAACAAAATTTAAAAATATATACATGTATATACTGGTTACTTGTTTCTATTAATTGTTTCCATTTTCACTGAATGCATGTCAGATGGCCCCCCCCTTTTTAAATTAAGGCAAAGCAGAACGCTTTGCTGCAGCCGTGCAGAAATGCATGCGTCCAAAAATGATTTTTATTCTTTCTCCCTCTTTGTTCCTAAAGTTTCACTCCGAGGCTAAACTTGTTTTAATTTCTGTACTCATATGACTTTTAATTCCTTTATTCTTGTGACATTTGTGTGATCTTGGCCTGAACTGCTGCGTCACTTCGCTCAGGATGATGGAGAGCGTTTGATGTTGAGTCCATCAGCTGCAGCCAATTAGCAAATTAGCTCGCTTATTAATATGACACAACATGAATGTGCTTAGAGGAAGCCTTTGGAGCTTTCCATGAAACCTTCATGTTTGATTGGTTGCCATTGTGACGCTACTGTTGCTGCCACTGTGTTGAATTTGCTTTGTAAAAATATTCACGCCCCTTGACCTTTAGTCACATTTCGTCAGTGTATTTTGCTGAGGATTGTACAAAATCAGTGCAAAGCTATTCCAGCATTGCTCAGCTCTTATCTGTCAACATGCTGCTTTTGGTCCAGTTACAGATTCTCAATCGGGTCTCGGCTTGGACTTTGGTGAGGCCATCCTGGCACGTTGCTGTTCTTTAAGCGAAACTGTTCCTCTGCGTTTTCCAGGTTGCTGCTCTGCCGGAAAGTAAATCCTGTATCTGCCCCAATCTCACTTCTTTAAGAGCCTTTTTTTTCCCTCAAGTGTTGCCCTGTACTGTGCCCCATCCATTTTCCCATTAAAGCTGACAAACATCACTGTCCTTGCTGTTAAAAAAAGAAAAAAAGACGATGTCCATCCCATGGAGGTGGTAGCATGCTGTGTCCATGTGTTCAGGGCGATTCAAAGTGTTCATTTAAACAACATAGTGTTTTGCATGTAGATGAAAAACGTTCATTTTGGGGGAGTTTTCTGAGCGTTACATTTCGGACTTTGATTGGGATTCTAACACTCTTTTTTAAAATTTTCAACAAGGGATTCCTTCTTAATGCTTTTCCATAAAGACCGGATCTTTGTTGTACACAGCTAGTATCTGCAGATCCTCCAGGGTTAGCATAAACCAGTGGTTCCCAAAGTCTGGGGCATGTCCCCTCGGGGGGCCGCCGTGCCATTGTGGGGGGAGGACAGTTTTTTGTTTTTTTTTCACTGAATGCAAAAAAAGAAAAAACTTAAAAGTGTAAAGATGGTTTGTAGTTTGTTTGTGAAATGTGAAATAAACTTCAGTGGAATTGAAAACAAAATATGTGTATTGGTTTATGTCTGGTTGAACAATGTGTGTGCCCAGTTGATTTTTTTGGGGGGTGTGGGGAATTTTATTGTAGTCCATAGGAGAGCCCTAAAATCTTTGGGAACCACCGGCATAAACCATTTTGCTAACCCTAACCCTTAGTCCCCCTTCCAAGCCTCTCTGTGAAGGTTTTACAATTGTGCCACACTCTTTCCAGGTATTTTCAGACGATGGATAGAGCATTTGTCCAAGGCTCGGTAATTTCTGTTCTAATCTTGCCCTGATTTAAACATCTCCACAGCCTTATCCCCAACCCGCTGCGTTCTTTGGTCGGCAGGATGATATTTGCTCACTTATGTTCTCTAACAAACTTCTGAAGCCTTCACAGAAAACATTGGATTAAAAACAGGGATTAAACCACACACACACAGACTCTATTTACTAATCTGGTTCAATTTATTGTGCACTTGATTTTAGTTAGGAGTATCGGTGTAAAGTGGCTTGAGTGCAAATCCATTCCAAACCGTTCAAGGGGTGTAAACAGTTCTGCGAGGCACTGTGCATGCATTGCTTTATTTTGACTTTTTCTATGTGATTGTATTTCATTTATTGGTGACTGATGAAGGATTGTGTTGCCATGTCATATTTTTTCTATGCTATTTGGTTGGAGGCTTCATATAATATTTTACTGGGCTGTGGAAGTTAATTTTCTTTTGTCTTATTATCTCTAATGTGTATTTCAAATGTGCAAAAGTTGAAAGAATTTCATTGTTGCTTTAAGATTTATGCTTTGAACATCCAAAATCAAGGATGTTTTCTTTTTCAGGACTCCTACGTGAAAAGCCACAACTTTAGCCCTAATTCTGTGTTGCCTCATAAACCCAAAAAGTTCCTGCACCTTCACCTGACGACGCTATATCCTCCTCTTCCTTCTCCCCTCAGGGTTTGTGAGCTTTGACAACCCAGGTAGTGCCCAGGCCGCCATCCAGTCCATGAACGGCTTCCAGATTGGCATGAAGAGGCTGAAGGTCCAGCTCAAGAGGCCAAAGGACGCCAACCGCCCCTACTAGCCCCTTTGCCTCCTGCCCCAGCCGGCCGCCGCCGTCGACAGGAAGAGACAGGTCAGGTGTCACTTGAGCCGGATAACCGAGTAACTGAACCAAAGCGTGCGCGACTGCTGCAATATTAAACTGGCAAACGCTCCAACGGCGAGCCCATTTATGGCGCCGCCTGATGTGTTTTCCATAACCTTTTATGTAAGTCATAAAACACTCGCAGGCACCTAATAACAGCTTGATCATCTGTAAAATGCTTGTAAAGATTAGTGAAGTCTTACTCCGGCGCAGACAGTTTAAGAATATATTTGATAAAGGTTATGCTAATGTGGCTCGTCCAGGACTTGGCAGGGAGTACGAGTGAGGAAACGGTTATAAAAGCGGAGAGCGTTTGTAAAAAAAAAAAAAAAAAAAAGTAAAGTCTTTTCGTTAATCTATGAATTTAAAATAAGTGAAAATGGGAGTTTTGCGTTCTCTTTATCTCTGGAATCTAAAGATCCATGCCCCCTGGGAAAGGCGTCTGATATTGGAAATAGATCTTTTTTTTTTGTTGATGTCGGTCAAACACAAACAAAGCTGTGGAGGCGTTTCCGTTACACGCTGCCTCCTCTGTTTGCGGAGCATCTTTGCAGTAAGTGACCCCGCATGTTACCCTGTAGGTAAAAGATAATTGGTAAATGGTTCGGCGTGTTGCGCTGAGAAGGAAACGGTTCTGAGGCGGGGGAGGCATTTATTACCCCTCAGGCGAGTAATTGTGCCGTTCCTCTTTGTCTCCTCCCTTCATCTGTGTGATGGAGGGTTCGGGCCGCGTCGTTCATCCACCGCTGATGACTTCATTCAAGGGCAACTTATCACCCACTCACAAGCCAGCTGAACCATACTGCACAGTGTCCCGGGGCAAATCTCTGGCAAAATATTGCATTCTCATACGAGTTTGTCAAAGCAAGTACAGGGGCGCAAGTTTTGTTTTTGTTGTTTTTTTTTCTGCTCTTTTTGCATATCTAGATACTTTGCAACACATTATCTTTTTCTACAGACTCCAAAAGCCCCAGTCTACTCTCCCTGTACTGTATTTCTTTGCACTTGCGTTGTTGTCTGAGAAGGTTCGGAAAAACAGATGCAGCTTAAAGAGTCTGAAATTATACACAGTCATGGGAAATAGAGGAAACGCACTTTAAGATTCAGTGGCTTACAAACCATTTTTAGCCCCAATAACTCTCGGTAAACATAACCAGTCTGTCAGACTGACTGATATTTCGGGGCATTTGATTGTTTGCAGCTTTGTCAATGTCTTCTCAAAGCACTTAATTCACGTTGATTTCCGGCCTTGGAGACTGAAACACGTAATCTGTCCCAAAGACGCTGTTCCAGAAAGCTTTCCTTCACTCAGATGCAACTTTGAAAATCAAATGTGTTCCAGGAAACATTTTCTTTAAGACAGAAGAAGCTTTTTCTGCTGTCAGCTCTGTTAAACTAACATGCTTCAGTCTTTTTCCGACTCCCTTGTCCTAGTCTTCAACTTTCAAAATGCTAGCAGAAGCATCGTACGGTCTGAGGTGGAGCTTTTGGGGGTTTTCGCAATTGCTCCGACCAATGCGAGGTTGAACTTTGCGACTCGGGGTGACTCTTGCTAAGATTGGTAGCTGTCTTAAATGTTTCTAATTGTGAATAATCTTCCTTAATGTAACGTAGAATGATGTTTGGAAATCAACCTTTAAACTCTTCCCAGAGTAATCGGCGGTAACAAATGCTCCTTTAAGGGCATTGCTGGAGTCTTTCCTCCTTGGCGTTGCACTAAAGCTCACCAGTTTCTCCTGACCCGTCGACTGACCCAACTCCTAGTTTTATAGAGGTGGTCAAACTTGGTGGTGGCCAGTTAATCACCAGTGTGTACTTAGTTTTCCCCTGACTGTAGATCTGCATGTTGATGCAGAAAGACAAATAGGCACAACAAAATGAAACTCTTTTGCTCTTCTTGGCAATCAAAAGTTATCTCCCATTTTACTCTGTAAATAAAGTTCATCCTATGAACCAAATAATTTTAACATCTCAAAGGAATTGCTTTTCGAAACGCTGATGCTTGGGTTTGATGCTGTTTCTTTTGTCCGCTCTTTCATAAATGTGTGCAACTGTCAGTCACCTAATAAACTTGCCCTATGTTCAGTTTCCAATGGTTTCCCTGTTGCCCGATTTGATAAAAAGCAATATCTCAGCTTGTGGTTAAAAATGACCTCAGACTTAAATTGTTTGGTTCCACTTCTTTCCTTTTTATAATAAAATCCTATTGATTCGTAACCCAGCCCATTCTTTCCTGCAGCTTACATGGGGCCTTCCTGTAAATTGTTATTAAACGGATACGATCAGGAGCTGGGACGACTTATAAGAGGGTATTTTCATGGAACTTACCTATAAACATGATAATAATTACCTGTCACTTTCATGGAGATCCCCTGGAGCTTTCCTATAAGCTCATCATATTTCCTGGTCTGTATTATGAAGTGGCTTATAATGGGCTATTTTCATGGCGCTTAATAGAAACTTTTATTGAACTTCCATGAGACTTACTGAGTCCTTTCAGAACCAGGAACAATTTATCAATTTAAAAGAAGTGCATTTGCATCAACCTTTTAGAACTTACTACCTTTTGAACACTTTTTTGTTTTTTAAACTTTCACAGAACTTGCCAGTAACCTTCTTACAATTTACCGGTACCAGATAACTAGTGTTGTTACCAAGTGACTTCAGGAGTATTTTCCCGGAACGCCCATCGAACGAAGCCGCAACTTTGCTGAAATTTATTTGTAACTTTTAGAAACTTTAAAAAGTTCAGTTTCAAGCCACTGAGACACAGGAAATGATCCACTAAGCTTCTGGGAATTACAGGCCTCGTTAGTTTGCAGTTTTAAATCTGCAAGGCAACTTTCAGCAAAGACTGACAGATTTTTCTACATTGTTGTTGACAAAACTATTTCCTCTGTGTTTTGCAGGATTTGTTGAGCTGAATAATATGTTGACCACTTGCTACCCACCGCTGAGGGCAAACTCAGCTTCTGGACCACAAAGTCTGCTTCAGAAAAAGAGAGAAGAGAGCGCGAGCATTGACCCGGTCCAGGACACCTCCCTTTGGATGTACTAAAACTTTTGAACTGAGAGAGCGTTTTCTGGTTAGCACCAGGACTTCTTTTCCTCCTGCACACATATATACAGCTCCTCCAACTAAAAAAAAAAACAAACAAACAAAAAAAAACAACAACAAAAAACCTGCTTGAATGACAGCTACCTTTTTCTGGACCAGACAGTTTTACTTGAACGCCGAGAGGGGGGAAAAAAAAGTAAAAGATCCTCCATAAAATCTACTGATGATGACCAACTTCACTAAACTCTCCAAGGGGAAATGGACGCCAAAAGTCCAACAGGAAAAACAAACTTCTTAAAAACCGAACAGCGGATTGCCGTAGAAGATCCTTCTGAGAGACGGTTTCGGGGCTGTGTGTTTTGTTTTTGGGTTTTTGTGGGTTTTTAATTTGTTTTGTTTTTATGGACAGTTGACTTTTGAAGGCCAATTTCTAAGACGTCAAGCCGCCAGGAGCAAATTGAGAGAGGAAGAGAGCCGAGGTAGGGAATGTGACACTTTCGGGACACAGATTTGGGATGGCCACCTTCAGCTCGGAGTGCCTGTCCCGTTGCTGAGGAGAGCCGCAGCAACGGACTCCAGGGAGTCTTATCCGTCATTCCTTAGTTGTTTTAGGGACCAAAAGACCAAACGTTTTTATCGCTGAGGACTTGTAGCTCTAATATACTCGGACCACCGCATCTCCTTTCGGGTCAGCATCGCCTGCCCGGAGAGTTGCACTTAAAGCAAGTGTACATTTCGAATATATACAAAACCCTGTAAATATACATATATATATTGCTGATATGCTTTTTTTGAATACAGGCAGAACTATTTCAGACGACCAAAAGGGGTCTCTCACTTCGCTAGTTTACAAGTACGCAAAATGTTTATTTTTGTTCCCCTTTTCGTTTTTGTCTCGGGAGGGATGGCGAGTGCATGGGAGGGGCTGCTCCGTATCACAGCCTTATCTTTTTTAAAATCGACATCCTAACCTCACAGATAAAATAACATCCGAAACGTTTGAAATATACGAACTTGTTTATATTTGCAGTACATATATATGTATAACGAGCATTCAAGCAAATGTATTCATATATATACGGTATATATGGATAATAGATATTAATCACAAATATATGTATTTATATGCACATATTTTATATATGTGCGACTGTACATAGAGCGGCTACTGACTACGTTGAGCTGTTATATTATTTATATAGATATTTTTTTTTTGTTTTTGTAGATTTTAGGAGGAGTTCGAAGCATTGCTCTGCTTGGGAAGAGAACCACACATCTGGCAGCTCCCCAAAAACCGCAGGCATTCCTATCTCTGACAACCTATATGCTGACATGTTGCTAAAAAAAAGAAAGGAAGAAAAAGAAAGAAAGATCAGCACGTGTGAGAAAGCGTATCTTCTGTAAATATTATCTGAAAAATGCAAAAAGCCACCTCTCAGTAGCAGGCTTTAAGGGAATCGGGCTAAAGAGGATTTTCTTTAGAGGAAAAGGACAATTATCTTCGACTCTATTCCAAAACATATCATGTGAGCGCACACACACACACACGCACACGCATGCATACACAAACTTCTCTTTGAAACTTGAACCAAAACGAATACGTCTCACAACCCTTGCTCTCTTTTTGCATTCAGTAAAGTGCATGTAGCGTACGGGCTGTCACCACGTCCAGGTGTGCCTTGTCACCTGCAGAATCTGCCACTCAGCACTGTGCTCCCACAATGACGGAAAGAAGAAAACAGACACAAAGAAACCTGAACACACACTTCTGCGAGCAGCCAATGCGCTATTATGATGTCAAAAAGAAAAACAAAAAAACAACGCAGGCGGATCCATATCATTTCTCTGCCATGTGGAGAGATTTAGCGCAAACGGAGCAAATCGCCCCCGTCGCTGTTGGGAAAGAAAACGACAGAAAACAGGCATTCAGAGCTTAAAGCAGACACACTCCTTGAAACGTGGGCATTAGGTGACCTGTCGGCACAGAAACTATCAAAGCAGCGCGTGGATCTCCTGTAAACTACCTTCTTTCCTCTGGTCGAAGCTGGAGCAAACGGGAGGCTGAATGAGGGAAGTGACCGAGCGGTATTTACAGCTATGACGTTATTGTAATGTTGGTCGAGACGTTGGGAATGTGACACGAAGCATTTGCTTTAAAGAAACGTCAGATCGCCTTGTCACGATCCAAATGAATACAAAAACAAAGCCCTGGCAAAGATGCGTACACAAAGCCTTAAAATAAATGGCCGTTATTTTAGAGGTCGTGACCCGTAATATCCTAAGCTCTCTGCTGCAGTTGTCCAACAGTAAACCTTTTGAGACTTTTGGCTTCGTTCCCCAGCTGTGCTGCTCATTGTGCATGTTGGCGACATGCAGGTGCATCGCAACAAATTCCTGACCTCTTTGAAAAGTTCATGTTTGGTTCAAAAACCGGCAGGTTGTATGAACACAGTTGTACATTTAACTAACTATGAAACCCCAAAATTAGTTTTTTTTTTTTTTTCAGAAATAAAACAAGAAAAATCATGGGATAGACTGCAGACCACTTCATTGATGGACATATGATAAAAATGAAAGTTTACAAATGTATGAGTATTTTTTTCAAACACATTAGTGACGCAGACATTTTTCGCCGACATTCCAATTTAATACGATGCACCTGTTCGGTTCTGGTTCCCCTTGAGCCTTCTGGGTCGTACCTCCAGTCGTAGTTTAAACCCTTCTAACTACTTTTCTTGTAAATATGTGCATGTGCACGCTTACGTGGGCAGACGTCTTTATTTCCTTTGCGGATATTTCCCAAACTGTGCAGACGAGCAGACACCTGCCCTTCTCAAATGACTCGTTTTCTTGTGCCCGTCCCACTTTGAAGCGTTTATAAGATCCATCTCACAAGTTCTTCCCGCCCCGAGAGAAGCAGGGGCCTCTGGATTTAAAGTCCCTGCATCCACAAAAATAAATGGAAATTGCTTCAATTACGTTTCCATTTGCAGGAGTCATAAAAGGTGTTCATAATTATGTCACTTAGGAAATAAATGTTCTGAAATTAAAGATTTTTTTTTCCTGAATTTTTCAGTTAGAGATTATAGTGCTGCGATTAAAAAAAAAAAAGTATTTTATTGCTTTTTACTCATCTTTACCAGGGGTAGCTGTTGGGCTTGAAGGACCGCTGCTGGTCCTAGAAAGCCAGACTGAACCTGCTAAATGAAGCAAATCCTTCCACTCAGTGCAGCTGCTGTTTCACTTCACGGTTCTTTCAGCATAAAGTTCCCTGCAGCATTTTGCAGAAAAATGCTGTAAACACCTACTATACACTCCCAAAAGGTCAACAGACGTGGATTTATTGGACTCCCCTCAACGCCTATCGAGCTGCTGGAGAATACTTAATGAATATTTATAGATATGCATATTTATAAGGCTATATGACACTTTTGGAAGACGATGCTTCCCGTTTGGTGTCATTGCTAGTGTTGGTATGAACTGTTCTCCATGCCGGTATCCCGGCGTTTGCGTCTTGCCCCTTTTTTTTTTTTTTTATCTTTTTAAGCTGTTGGAATAATTTAACATTTACCTTTAAAATCCAGCGAGAATTTAAAAAGAAAACCAAAACAAACAACAACAAAAAAAACCCTGCACCACACATTCTGGGTTGTCCCTCCTTTTCTTTTTGCGCTGCGCGTGTCATTCAGAGGAAGCCAGATGCGTTAGAATAAACTCCGTCCAACGAGACGTCGAGAGAGAAAAAAAACAAACAAAAAACGCGTCGCCTGTCCCCTTTTTGACCTCCCCGCTGCTGCGCCGAGAAAACTGCACAAAAACGCAGAGAGACGCGTTCGCGTGGAGCAGTCCTCCACGTCTTGTCTTTTTTTTTAACCCGTGCTTTCATGCTGAGGGACGCAGGAAGAGATGAAGCAGTTGGTCATCTTCAATTGCTCTGAGTCAAAGCTGCAAGTTCACAGGCAGGGAAAAGGAAAAAAATAAAAAATAACAACACAGAAATAAATGAATGGAAACAAAACAAACTTGGTTCAACAACAAGAAACAGAGCAGAAGTTTGAATATAAATATATATAAATATATACATAAACTGATGAATATACTGTAAATTATTTCTTTTTTGCTCTGTTTTCTGTACATAGGTTTGCATATTTTATAGGACTTTTACTTCTATCTACAAGGACTGGATAAAGTACTTTAAATACTTTAAATAAATATATATAAATATAAATATATGAATGAAAACAAGATAACGCTCATTAAAACCAGGTACAAAAAGAAAAGGTAAAAAAAAAACAACAGTTGCTAGGTTATGGTGAAAACTGTAGGACTTGACCAAGGCATTTATCCAGAAAACAGTCAGGGAGAGCATCGACCTCAGTTAGAGCTTAGACACACGTTGACCTATTTTATAAAAAAGAAGAAGAAGAAAAAAAACAACAAAAAAAAACGAAACATTTGAAAAACTCCAGTGGGTTCTCTTCATTTATTTGTTTAGATATTTGTTTAGGAGTCATGTCTGAGATGATATGCATGCTTTTCACAGCATTATTTTTCTATGAGTTGGTACGTGACCAAATCTTTTTTTATATGACATGCACGGGCCGCCGCCGCAGCAGCAGCGGTCCGCAGACGAGTCCTCGTTCCTGCCTTCAGCACTTCTTTGGCGACGGAGAAGAAAAACGTTTAAAAAGAAAAAAGAGAAAAGAAAAAAAAAAGGAGCTCCTATTGACCAAGTGATGTCAGAGACAGATTTTAATCATTTATTTATCTTATTTATTTAATTTATTGCGTTTTATGTATTTATTTGCGCTGTTTGAGTCAAGATCCGAGCTCTGCTTGTCGCCACTGATCCTCCAATGATTAATTTGCGTCCCTCTGAATTGAACTTCCTCAAAGACCGATTGTTTTTTTTTTTTGTTGGTTTTCTTTTCCTGTCACTAGTGAACTCTCAATGTCAATGCAGTACTACACTAAAGCCTTATACACACTGTAACGATAGATCCATGCCGTTGTGAAAAGGACTCGTAGTTAGGATTAATAAGAATAAAATTCGTCCCCTCTCAGTAGTGATTACGATTTGCTTCTGTCATAAGAGCTTTAAACATGTGGCAAAAGAGGAAGTTGGATATTTGATCAAAGCCAGGTCGTTTATCCTGTGCGATCAGAACGAGTTGTTCATCCTTGATTATTGATTTATTTTCCATCGTGTACTCCAATATTTGACAGAGCTCTGATCTTGTTCAACCCATGTTTTCTGCCAAACAAAATTCAATGATGACTGCACTATTTCATCAACAACAACAAAAATGAGGGGAAAAATCTGAATTTCTTTTGTTTTCTTATTTCTGTGCTATTACCGATGTGATTCTTTTTTTGGGGGGGGTTGTTTTTCTCCAAGGCTCAGTGGTGTTGCTAGAATCACATTTTACATCATGTGGTTTTCAAAGTGTTCTGGAAATCTACTGTATTTCCCAAATTTCAGCACAGATGGAGGGCTGGGGAAATGAATGTTGCATATTAAAGCTTTGCCAGGTTCCTAATGAGCTAAGCTTCTGATTGGGCAGTGCGCTTTAGGCTCCCGCCCCTTTCCCCCCAAACCCTTGTCTCTCCAGACTGCACCATTCTCCGGTCCCCTGGACTCCTCTTTTTGTAATTTTAAATGAATGATGCGTCTCAGCTTAGCCCAATAATAAAGCACAGTCTAGAATATCGTAATCTGTGTCGTGTCATAATTGCCGTCGCATCCAGATTTGTCGTTTGCTGGGCGTCTCGCTACTTTCAAGGTATTACAAGGTTTTCAAAAGGTTCTCGCTTCTGAAGCAAGAATATTTTCTGCCATCATTTTTCCATGATTTTGAGTAAAAGGCCTGAGTTACTCTGGTTCTCTCCAGCTGTTTCTGCATACTGCCAGTCAGCTGGCTGAAAAGCAAACTTATGACCAGAAACAAAAGGGGCGGGTGGGTCCAATCGGGTCATTTCATCACTCAAATATTATATTTCTTAGTAAATCTCATTTCAAACACAGTCCTGGCTCAGCACTGGAAGCATAATGTTGGAAAAAAATAAATAAATAAATAAAATGTAGCCGTTTGAATATATTTGTGCGTAATTAAAAACATGGTCGGAAAATAATGTGACGTGACAATTCAATCTAATTAAAGGTAGCTCTGTTTTAAGGCTACAGTTAACAAGCTTTGAGTGGCATGTCTGTTCAGCAGCTGACTCCATGCCAGCGAACCAAGCAGATAAGCTTCATTAACCATCTATAATCAGCTTGTTGCGTCCAGCACAATAAGCCGTTCAAATACAGCCGATATCTGGTCTATATTTTTAGGAGCGGTCCATGTTTTTCTGAAATAAAGACAGTTTGTATTATTTGTGTACTTTTCATGTGTAAAGACTGTGAGATTGCTTTATTTGAACTGAAAGCCTTTATTTTAAAGGTAATGACTTCAAATCTACACACACACACACACACACATACACACACACACACACAGAGAGAGAGCTCCTCGGTAATGAAACAGAAGGATTGGTGTTGGTTGCAAATAGGAGCAACTGGCTTATATTTCCAGGGATTTACTGAGGCTGCAGATTTATGCATAATACATTGAGTCAGATTCAGAATGGACAATTGTGAGTCATGAGATTCAGTTTGCATTTACATTGCCAAGGTCTTCAGAAGCAATAAATGCAGCTCAGTGTTAAAAAATTTCCTGGGGAAAAACATAATTCGCCTCACAAACAGAGGAAATTCAGAATAAATATACATTTATTTGCATATAAAAGGGGGCGGGGGGAAAAAAAAAAAAACAACAAAACAAAAGCACAGTAGCCAATAAGAACACGATCGACAGAAATCAAATTCATCCTAATTTCCGAAAGAATTGAAGACAATAAAAAGGAGTCATCGAACATCAAGCGGCTCGCTTCAACATTTTGTTAGCAGATGAAAAAGATATCTTCCAGTATCTGGCTCTCTTCGAGGTCCTGCTGAACGCCGTGTGAGAAGTTCCCACCTGGAGTCATCAGGCTCCTTCCTCCAGGCTTGGGGCCGGCGAGGGCTGAACTGCGCTGTGCCGTCTTGGGTCTTTGAGCAGCAGGCTTGTACTGCTGCGGGGCAGAGACGGGACTGAAGACGTGCAAAATCTCACTCAAGGAATGGTCCAACCTGAGAGAAAGCAACACTTTTTATTTCTTGTTTTGCTTGAGCCTCAACTGTCTTTTCTTTTTTGTTTGTATTATTGTTATCATGTGTCTGACATTAGATTGCGTTGTGGAATATGTTCAAAACTTTTCCAGACTGAAATTTCTAAGCATTCCAAGAGCTCACAATGGATGGACGGACGGACAGAGCAACCAAAGGACAACAGGCCAAAGGATCCAAATAGGACCAAGCTGAAATCTACTTTGAGGGAAAAATTTGTCATTCACCTTTCACTTGTTAACACAGACTTGTCTGAAAGCAAAACACTTTGGAGTATTAACAAAAATCCGTTCTTGCCAAAAGGCCTGTGGATCGCTAACAAGCAGAGTTAACAAGTCCAAACCCAGTGGGGCGTCCCTGCAGAGGAAGAAAGAAAGAAATACAGCAGAAGAAAAAATAAATCTGATTTTTGCAGGTGTGTGAGAGTAAGCGGGAGAGGACGTGGCGCTTTTCTCCCCCGGAATAGAAATGAGGGAGTGTGCAGCGAAATAAATAAACCAAAACGGGGGAGATTAAGCTAATAGAGATTCAATCCCGCAGTCTGGCTGGCTTGATAAATTATTCAGTGTATACACAGCCGAACGACGGCCATTCCAGATACAAAACATGAATTCTTTAAAGCACGCTCCACTGATCTTGCCAACATAATTCTCTGCTCGTTTAAAGCGGCATTGATTTGCATCGCGCGCCGCTCTCCACACCGCAGCTCTCCCAGGTAAAAGGAGATCTTGGGGAGACACTTGTTGATATGCATGCAGGCGGCCGGCGGACAGACGCAGCTTCCAATCAGGGCGCGTATCGGCGTTCCTCTGCACGTAGCTCTGGACCTGGATATGTCATGTTTGAAAGCTAAATCGAAAGCAACACACATCAGTAGCTGAAAAGCTTTAAAAAGGACAAAAAGAAGAAGGAAAAAAAAAAAGACTACATTTTGCTTTGGATTAATTTATGCATGTACAGTTTGAGAGAGCCAAGGAGCTGAAGGGTGATGGTTGATGGGGATAAAAAAAATAAATAAATAAAAAAAAAAGCTGAAGCTAATTGAAGTAAATCTGTCCTCCTTATTTTGGTCCGCTCCCTGTCAACCAGCAGGGGGAAAAAAATAGAAAGACAGAGAGCGGGAGAGAGAGTGGCTAATATGTGTCTGCTTCTATAGGAGGGACTGGAAATGAGCACTGCTGTTTCAGATAGAAAGCAGGGCAGAGAGGGAATGTGTGTGTGTGCGTGTGTGTGTGTGTGGGTGGGTGGACCGGGGGTGGGGGGGGGGGAAAGAAGGAGGAAACTTTGGACTCGAAATGTGAGAATTTGCATTTTTATTTGTTGATTTATTTAATGGACGGGGCTCTCAAACAGCCATCCATCAACAAGCGACATGTCTGTAATGAATAATGCATCACTTACCGGCGGTCACAATCTATAACAAGCGAGAGGTGGGGGGCTGAAGGGGGTACAGTTTGGGTGAGAGCGAGGGGAACAGACATGGGTGCGGTGGCGGCAGCAGAGACGAGCGAAGGCACAGAGATTGCGTGGAGACTTGAGAGAGAAAAGAAAGTGATTTTCTCTTTTCTTTGTGGAGCAGCTTTTCTTTCTTGAGCAGAGTTTTTAAATGGAGAAGTTCTGCAAAAGTCAAAAGCTGCCAGAGATTTTCTTCCCCCGTAAATAGCGTTTAGGAAAGTCTGCGGTTAAAGAAACAAGCTTCTGGCTTTGCTGGGGGGGGGAAAACGCCTTTGGACCTGGAACAGTGGGTCATGTCGAGGGCATCCAAGAGCAGCGGATGGTTGATACTTAAGTGCTTCCATGTTCACAGCTAGTCAATACAGCAAGAACATTTCATGAAAAAGAAAGTGGACTTTGAGTATTTCACCTTAGTGGAAAAATAAAAATTTAAATCCCATCTGCAATACTTTACCAACGTATTCATACGCCTTGAAGTTCTCAACTTTTTTTTTTTTTCAGCTACAAACTTGAACGTGTTTTATTGGGATTTTGTTTGATAGACCAGCATGAAGAAGGATGTAATTGTAACGTGGAGAAAAAACAGCACATGGTTGTCAGTTTGTTTTGTACCTATTTCTTTTATCACAGATGGAATTTGAAAATCCAACTAAAATCTAACAAATAATCTTTGGGGAAACTCGAAGCATTTTGATCTGAACTTTTTCTACTGTTTCAGAAAACTGAAAGAGGAGGATTTGATATACCAACAACTGATCAGACATAGGATCAGTTGTTGGGTTGATCTGATCAAACCAACAACTGCAACTCACTTTTTAAAAACAGGTTTTCCTCAGTCAGTCCGTAAACTGCCTTAAAAGCAGCTGAAGATAAACACAAACGATGCTTTTCAAACCTTTAATCTGAAAATGCATCGTTTACTTTCCTCTTCACATGTCTGCACTTCCTTTTGTCGGTCTGTCATATAATATGCAAAGAACTACAGTCAACTTTAAGACAAGGCTGAAAACACACAACACTATATACGTCATTACTGTCTGCCACAAATTATTCTGACTTTTCTTAGAACTTCCACTTCCTACTTGGCTTGTATCTTTCTTTAAAGACAGCCGTCTCGCCCCGGTGCCTCTTTGCATTTGCAGTCCAAACAGTAAGATAAAAAAATAAATAAATTCCATAATGGCCGGTGCGTATATATTCCGCATGACAATTTCCGAACCAATCAATAGCGGGCGGGCAAGGGCAGGATAGATGGAGATGGGATGGGCGGGGCGTGCTGGAACTGTCTCATTACTAACTAGCACAGGATTCATGAAGGGATTCAGGAGGTCACTTAATGTTAACACCTGCTCTGGATTTGCAATTCGCACATCAAGATTGTAATGGTGGAGATTAAATGTCCGTAAGGGAGCTGTTGCTGTCTGGTGGGCAGAGAAGAGGAATCTTTACCAGAGATAAAACTTCACTTCTTAGTGTTTCGTTGGTTTATTTATTTTGTACTTTTTTGTGCGTCTTTGCAGCATGTAGGACCTGATTATTTATTACAATGTTTTTATTGGAAGACAAATTATACAATTAATTAAATACAGACTCAAAAACATTTGTTCTGCAAAGGTTGTATCATAATTGTTTTCCATTATACATAAGAAAAAGAGAAAGAAACAGAAAGAAAGGAAACAAACAAGCAAAACAGAAACAATGAAAAACAAAAACTAAGACGGAAACAAAGAAAAAGAAAGAAACAAAAAATAAATTAAGTAGATTATCTTTAAAAAAACAACAATAAACAAAAAAGCAAACAGCAGACAGAAGCTATAAAAATGGGTTCAATCAAATCAGAGTATTATTACCAACTGATTACAACTAACAAAAACCATCTTGGAGGCAAAATTTATTATTATAGTTTGTGTAAAAGATACAGTTTGCAGTTACCAGTGAAGTTATTTTAATGGGCTTTGGAGGTGAAAATGGATGCTAATAAGATCTGATATCCTCGGTCCCCTGTTGGAATTAATGGCCCGCTGCCAGAGCTCCCAGCTTAAACTTGGACCATGCACTCTGCTTTAAGAGTTAATCATTGCAAGTAGTAAACTTTCAGCCGTTTTAAAGAACCGTCTTTTAAAACAGCGAGTTTTCACTCTCCTGCACGTACTGCATTAAAAAGCTGACATTTTTCCGAAAGGCAGCAGAAATGTGAGAAAGATCTAAATATAAAGCAGGGATAGTGTTTAATTAAATGTCTCCATTTGATGATGTTTTCTCAAACCATTTTGTAAAGAGGTCTGCTTATTGTCTGCTTTAAGTGTCGAGTTGTATGGCTGAGTCGAGTAGCGACCACAGTGGTTCGCAATGTTGTAGAAGAAGTTATTTTTTGGATCCAAATCCTTTCCCTTGTCTGGACTTTCATATTCACAACTGGAGCAGATAAATGTTTTCGATTCCAGGTAATCAGATAGAGGTGTTAATGTTATGTCCATAGCTGATGAAGACAAAGCATTGTTCAATTTAGACATGTTGATTGTGCGTCGTGTGCGATCGCCTGGGCTCCCAATCGTCATTCATAGCATTCGGTTGTAGTTATCCAGTTCAGCGATGTCCCGAACAAGCAGAACTTTTTCCTCCTCCGGAGCTCCATTCAAACTTGATAAAGACCTTAGAGTTTGTTATCCATGTTGACTGAATCTTTTTTTGCTTTCTCAGAAACCAGGCCTTTCTGGCAATTCTTCTTGGTCAAGTGCTCATTAATAAATATGTCCAATCCTTTCAACAATCTGCAAACAACAAACTTATATTTCCTCTTTGTGAATCTCATGACAATGCAGGTTTATCTTCTTTTCCCCTTCTCGGAAGCGGGTGGCATGCTTTCACAGTGTCGCAGTCCACCTCTATCCCCTTGGTCCGGAGGAAAGAAGCCACCTGTTTCTTCTCTGTGGAGTCAAGCACTTCAACTGATGGTTGACCAGCAGCACTTGGTGCAGCCACTGCGTTGGCATACGAACAGGGCTTGTTAGCTATACAGCTAGACACAGTGTATCTGCTCCAGTCGTGGCTCAGTCCTCGTCTCCCCCCGGAACGAGCTGCTGTGGTGTCGGCATCGACCCACGGTTTCCCCTCGCGCCGTGGACATCATTTTTGAAATGCTTCACAGCGTCTCGTATTTTTTCATTTACAGGCCAGCGGCGACCAGCGAGTCCTCCCGCTGTGTAAAGAATGTGCACAAGTCCATGCAGTGGGATGTTTTGCACTGGGGTTAATTACCATTTAGTGACTCGGACTAAAGCCCGACGCTCTCCACCTCTTATGTCTTTCTCGCCGTTTCCATTGTCCTCCATCTGGACCTAATCTGGCAATTCCTCGCTCCCCATTTTTCATGTTTTCCAATGCGCTAACCCTCAAACACACTTTTAACATCTCTCCCTAACACTTGCTGTCTCGGTCTCATTACTGTGGCAGGAAGAGAGAGAGAAAGAAAGAGGGAGATAGAAAGACGGAGGGAGGGAGGGCACCGTGTGCATCCAAGTCTGTTCAATTACACCTGATGCAGGATCCCTGCTAGGCCAACTAATGGAACGCAGCATGTCTCCTGACAGGCTGGCCACAGCACCGAGCTAGCCCTGTAAAAAGCTTCATTTAGCTTCTTACAGCTCGAGAACGTAGACTGACAAAGGAAAATCATCATTTAGCTACCAGTTCTGCAACAACTGCAGGCCAAAGAAAAGCTGCAAGATTTCAAGTTTCTATTTGTATTCCTTATTGTGTTGTTAAGCTGGAGATTCTTGTTTTTTTCTTTTGAAGAACAAGCGGTAAAAAAAAACAAAAAACACACTAAACGCCTTGAGGAATCACAAACAACTCATAAAATATAACTAATTATCTCCCCAGTGTTTTTCCTCCCTCCCTTTCCACACCTTTATCTACATGAGTGGCTTCAAGTTTCTGATCTGAGGTTATTCGCCCAACAACCCTACCAAAAGCTGCTTTTTGCATTAATTGCCTCTCGCAGTTCTGATTTTTAGATTCTACGTTTCTTCGAGTGAACAAAAGGACATGGAGCCGACATTTAAATCAGAGGTTGACCAAAAAACACAGTTTTTAAGACCAACGCTGATGCAGAATTTCAAGGGTTTGGCAGCAGATGGTTGATATCATACCGATAAGTTTAACTTACCCATCTGTTGATTTTTTTTGTTTGTTTGTTTTGTTTCTTATCTAAGATCCAGACTTCTGTCAGTGGTGGGAGTGTGTCAAACATCTATGCACCATAGAAGCGGCAGAAATGTAGCTGCTTCTTTCGGTGGAGACATTTCCGAACTCGGTGCTCAAGAAGCAACAGCTAATTGAAGCCTTGCAATCAATCGAGCCACGGATGGAGATCGATGTCTCACTGACTGTCTACTGGGATCCGCCTGCAGCTGTTTGACTGACAGGAGGATGTGGCTTTAAATGTTTCCACTCAGCCACAAAGAACACACTGCTGCTCAAAGGTGCCAGCCAGAGATGCGATGAGTTACTGTCTGGTCGAACACTCGAAAAGCCCAAACAATATACCACACAGCCTACAGTGAAGACGTTGATCCTGAGGAAGAAGGCTCAAATTTTGAAACTTTCAGTGTGACTGAGGTCTTCCAAATGAATACAGAAGGATCATGTAAGATGGCTGCAAAGCATTAAAAAGAGCAGGAATGGGAAATTATGCACAGACTTCTGATCTGTGTGTCTCTAATGGTTAATGTCCATCTGTCAGATATCCAAAACCCATCCTGCCTCTCATTACTATAACCGTTTGCGCCTCTCCTTTATTTTTGTTTGGAAAAGTTCCAGCTAAACGCTTTGAGAAAAGTTCTCAGCAACGACAGAGATTTTATCAGCACTCAAGAAATGAAATTGAAACATTTACCAGCTTTTTATATACATATTGTTGTTGAAGTGGGCTATATTTCAGTGTCATTTAATGAACTGATTATTTGTCAAACAAAACTACGGACAACTATGGAAGAATTTTTACAACCTATGCTAAAATAATTTTAATACTTTTCAACCATTTATAGGTTCAGGAATTATGGTAGAAACGAAAAAAAGAAAAACTAAACAATGTAGGCAAAAGATGTTTCAGAAAAGTCTAAATAATATTGCGTTAACACTTGCTCACCTGTTTTCAGGGATGGTTTGGATTACAGAAACTGAGGGAGGGAAACTTTGAGTTAAAGGGCTTTTTGCTGGAGATGTGGCCACGTCCCTTCGAGACCGTTGTAAAGGATTTTCTGTGGAGAAAAAACACCTCTGTTGTAAAAGAAATCAAAAAAATAACAGCAAGTCAAGAAACAAAGAGTATATGGTGCTTAACAAATAGCCTTTGTTTAATAAGCAAACCGAGTAACAGAATTAAATCAATGGAGTCCGGCTCATTACATTCTGCATTAGGGTTAGAAATGAAGAGGATCTTTATTTTATGTGTGCTGACAGGCTTACCCTTTCCACTGGCAGGAGGAGCAGGAACAACCTGGGAGGTCTTTTCGTGCAAATTCTGTTCTGCAGAATGAGTTTCCACATTCCCAGACGACCTGCAGATCAGAAGGTAGTTCTTTTTTTTTTTTCAATAGTTCTACAGAATTCTATGGGTGTGAATTGCTTATTTCATGGCTCGGTTTAGTGTCTGACAAAAACTATTATTTGACTTACCTGGAGGGAAAATCTCGGTGGGAAGGAACCTCTGACTCTGACCCGGCATTCTTTGAGCTGCTGAACTGAGCTGGACTGGTTTGTTCGATCCAAGTCAAAATGAGGGAGAACAAAATCAGGAAAAAAAAGAAAAAAAAGGTCTGTAGTGACTGACACTTGAAACGTCGTACGAAGGACGGACAGCGACTGATTGGGTGTGTTAATTCAGATACGGAAGTGAACGCTTATCAACTTCAGCCCGTAAACGTTTCTCAGCGGTGGCGCTGCATACAGGCCATGTTTCTTTGGCTTGTGTGTTCTACCTGCTGTGCAGAAGTCGTGACTGTCGAAGCTGCTCTGTCTGTCTGCTGAGTCGCTCCTCCTGCTCAGCCAGCCGTGCCTGCAGCTTCTCCCTCTCCAACTCCAACTGCATCTTTTGCAGCAGCAGCTGGTGCCGCTTCTCCTCCCAGTCCTCGTGACCCAGCAGGGGCCTGGTCAGGGCTTCCTTTGCTTCTGCAGTAATTATATTCCTACTTGGCAGCCTATATGCAAATGTATACAATACATGATCTATATGTTTCCAGTTCAACTGTGTATCAAAATTAGAGAAAAAAAATTATTCACACCAGCCTAAGCTTTCACTATTTTGTTAGATTACAACAACAAAATATGTTTTTTGAAGTTTATTAAGATTTGATGTGATAAACCATCAAAGTAGCACATGACTGTCAAGTGGAAGGAAATGATAGCAAGTCTTTTGCAGCAATTTTCAAGCCATTTTGTCCATCTGAAATGTTTTCCTACTTGTCTTTGTAAAACCTCAGAAGCTCAATCAGACGGAATAGAGAAAATCCATAAGGCTCAATTTTTAAGTCTAGTCAAAGAATCACAATCAGATTCATGTCTGATCTTTGACTGGACCAAACCATCAGGCATAACTTCATCTTGTTGCAAACTGCCTTATACAAGCTATTTGCAGGCATCAGCAAGTCAAATTTAAGACTTTTTAAAACCTTTTTAATGCCACCTTGAGTAAAATTTAAGACAAAAGATAGAAATAGGGGATGGTTGGGACGACTTGCTGCATTACAATCAAGGACAGCAAAAACTGTGAACCCGACTTTGTGCTTCTCACACTGCAAGTGGCTCTCTACAGTCTTAATCGTCGTACTGACAAACTTCAACGTTTTTTTTTGGCAAAAACAAACGTCGTCCAGCCGTCTGCTGATCAAATTTGTACTAACTAGGTAGATAGCAGGAGTATATAAGATATAAAAGGTATCCTCAACCACCTCAAGTTACAGAACTCAATTAAGATGTTTTCATGCGACTGCAACTTTTGCCTGACAGAAAAGTTCTGCAAAACAACAAATCTACTTTAAATAGTCCTACCATGATCAAATTTAAAACATGCGATTGCTGTATTTAAAGCCAACATTAATTTTTTTCAATGAATTTAATACATTTCAGACCTTAATTTTAGATACACAAATGTCATATTTTTTAATGATCTGCAGACACCTTGTTAGCATGTTGCAGCTTTCTTTTAAAAAATTACTTTTTCTGTTAAGTTTTTAAGGCTGAAAACAAATGCATGCCACACTTTTCAGATTTATCAAGCATACTCTTTTTTTCCCCACTTCAAAATGACACACTACAGTTCTAATAAAACACTCAAATCCTACACAACAATTTGGGATTCCACCTTCACGTATAGAGGTAGTATAGGGGAGCATTAACAATTTTTCCAAGAGTCTGTACATCAACGCTAACATTACCTTTGATGCTCCCTCGCAGTAAAGGAGTCATGATGACAGTTCCCTAGACAGCAGCTGCTTTCACTTCTCCTGTGCCGTGTGCCACAGCCAGTGTCATGACAACTGCCTTGGCAGCGCTCACATGTGTAGCATATTCGTGGCTGCCTGCAGTCTCTTTTTTGACTCGTGTGTCGTTTGGTTGCCCCGTCGTTTGGACTGAACTCTCTGTCACAGGAAAGAGAGGCAGGGTCCCTAAGCATTTCTGCAGCACCTCTTCTTACATTATGGCTCCTATAAAGCGAAGCCTGCTGCTCTTCGGCAGCAGCAAGGCCGACGTACGAGCCGTCAGAGAATGAGCCATTAGCTCTGCTTGTAGAGGGCCTGCTGGGGGTTTCCTCAGCACCGAGCACCTGCACAGAAACCAAAAGAACAATTAGTTCTGTTAAGCCCATTTAGAAAGCCTCTGAGAGTTTAATGAAGTGCTTCAGCCAAAACAGACTGCTCTATAAAAGTTTAATTTACAGCTGGGTAACAAAACGCAAATTCTCCTATTCAACATTAGGACTTTCCAAACTAACAAAGCTAATGCTGGATACTGCCACAAAAAAGGTTTGAAGCCGCTGCTAGAGCATAGATGTGAACTGCAGTGTTTGGACACATCGTGTGCAGAGGCTTCCAAAAAGAGATGCTGTGGTCTGTCTGGGTCATTATAGCACCACAAATTTTTCACAACTGTAAAATTGAACAGACTAAGAGGAATACTTGGCATTTACACCAAGATCAAGGAAATCATGAGCTGAACACAAGGAAGAACGCCCCGTCTAGTATTCTAATGGGGGAAGAGACTGAGTAATTTGCTGAGGGTCAGAGAGCAAGCAAACACTTATTATTCAGAGCCGCTTAGGGACAACGAGGTTGATAAGTCACTATTACTCACAGAAGCCTTCCCCTGAGTTGCATCTTTGCCTCTACAAAGTCACCTTGAGAAAGAAACGAACTAGATATGGTTAGGTCAAATACTCTCAATTTACTTTCCATCTACTTTCCTGAACCCTCTTGTTTGACTCCGTTTTAAAATGTCACAGCTTCAGAACCGACAATATGAGAAATTTGCAAGGACTAAAGCATAGACAACTTCGGAAAATGACCTCACATGCACAAAGCTGCGGCATTTCTCTGCTAAAAATCAAAGGGATTTAAATATAGTCAACAAAAAAGGCATTAAAAATTTAGACTAATGTGTTCAGAGATATGATTATATAGGTTGTATTCATAGAATGAGATAATATAATACTTTACAAGTGTGAATAATTGAAAAAAGAAATGGCTACAATGCCTCTATATGTCTCAGCTGCTTACAATCTCATTTTCTTGTTAGAGAAGTAGTACATTTTTTATTTTTTTATGATTGTAGAAAATAAATCTCCAGATTTTAGAGAATTTTGCTGCTGTTCAAATACAACCAGGTCATTTTGTTCAGTTGGTATTCTTCAGACAAACAACTTTGACTCACTGTCACATTTAGCATGACAAATTTGCGCCTGAGAACATGACGGAGGTCAACGGAGGACGCTCTCTGAATGTTGTCCCAGCTAGAGGAAACCATTATACATCACACGGTCAAAACAAGTCAAGCTGGGCATTTCCCACAACAGTCCATATTTTAAAAACATCAATATTGTCCAGCAGACTCCTAAAGACGGCCAGTGGGCAGCAATCCCTCTCTGTCTTGCTGGAACGATATACAGCTCCAGTCGGCTACAACTTGCTTAACAATGAGTTCCAATCAGCGAGAGTCGCAGAGCAAATAGCTCCAATGTATCTTCGGTACTGGGGAATCACGCACTCTTTCAGAGACTGCATGTGTGGCAAACCAGATCTGTACTGAAATATTTCCACCACCTCTCTAAAGACACAGAAGGACAACTTTGAGTCAGACGTTCCTGCAACTGGCTGCCCTAGTTTCAAATATTTACATACCAGCATCAGACATAAAAAGAACTTTGCAAAGTGACCTTCAATCCCAGCCATCAGGTTTACATGGTTCGTTCAGAACCAACTATGGTGACACTATATACGTAAACAACAATGCCATCCTTGCACACCATGCCTTACCTTATTGAGAGTTGCTGGGTGAGTGAGGTGAGCAATGGACTGGTTCAGTTTGGCCTGCTGCTCAGAAAGGTACTGCTGGTAGAGGCCAAGCAGCTCCTGGCACTCTTTGTATTGTAACTGTAAACCTGGAGGACCAAACGTTAAGTAGTCAACAACAGAGACTTGACTTGACCAGGTGAACCCTTCATATTCCTTACCCAACAATGTGTTGGGTAACATGAAGATGTTAATTTAAAAAAATTTAAAAAAACAGACACATATGTGAAGTATAAATGGTTGTACATTTCTGAAACAAGGTTATTAAAACCTTATGAATTTTGTTTTTACACTTTATTTTTCACCTGAATCTACACAGTGCCTTTGTAAGGTGTTCACAGAGACTAAGTTTGAGCTATTTTGATCAGGAGACCAAAACTTTCAGTCAGATTGGATGGAAACTTTTACCACAGATTCCCAATTGGACTTAGGGCTGCACTTCACCTCACAATTATGCCCTGTTAATGTGCAAAATATAAAATCCCAAAGAAAATTGAAGTTTAAATGGGAAAACGTCCCTGGGGTATAATCCATTTTGTAAGGAGCTGTAAAGTTTGAAATAATTTATCATGGTCCCATTTTTCTGCCTAAGAAACCTTGGTATTTTTTTTTTTTTTTTAGCTTCATTGCATTCTTGGCTCTGTACCTGCAAACTGCAAACAGAATTTAAATCCTCGCTGTACCACAAAAGGTGGAGAGAGCTTCAACTCTCCAAACAAATGGAGGGAAGAGTTCAGCAAAATCAAAGTTGTTGTTGTGGCATGTAGCTTTTTCGCCATCTGGGCTGAGCCAAGCTGTGTCGAGCTGAGCCGGGCTGTGCCACGCCAGGCTATTTGCCAGACAGAGAGCTGGCAGCCAGAGGAAAACTAATCTGGAACGAGAGTACTGCTGTGCCTCAGGAGCCCACTAATGACAGTGGCAGCACCACACCAACACCGACACATACAAAGATAATGAGCACGAGAATGGAGAGACTGCACACAGACACATCCACACACGTGCAATGATCAACTCTGACGTTCTCGGACACAAACACGCGTACACAAAAGAACCTCATGACACCAGAGTGCAAATTCCCCACATACACAGTAAACAGTACACACATAAACACAACAATAAAATAGGCTGTGCACAAAGCAAGTAACACACACACACACACACACACACACACACACACACACACACACACACACACACACACACACACACACACACACACACACACTACCCCCAGGCTGACCATAAAGTGTATTCCTCCACGTCATATCTTTTTATGATGGTGGCCATGCTCTCCCATCTGATGAGTTTTTCTCACCATCCATTTGCACAAAAAAAAAAAAGAAGAAGAAGAAGAAGAAAAACTCTTCCGTTTAAAGAGAAAATCAAAGTTCAGAGTAGAGTCTTATTGAAGAAATAGTTGGCGGGACACTGAATAAGAAAACACTTTCCTTGTTAGACGACTTCAATCAGGCTGTGGAAATGAAACGGGGGAAGGGGGGCGGAGAAGAGAGGAGAGAGAGAATGACTTTGAATTGAGGACCAGACACCAGGCAAATGCAATGTAGCGACTTCCATAAACACTGAGAAAATGTGAGAGAACACTTTGATTAAACCCTCAGCCTCACCCGGGCTCCCGGATGCCTGCGCTGATCTCCATGAAAGCAGCGCTATATGGAAAACGTAAGGACATCACAAGGGCATCACATCAAGCAAACCTGCACTGGGAGGTCTGTTTATGCAGCGCGGAGACCGAACATGCCTCCTCTGCTACAGATTACCTCAATCCAAGGTAGAATACGAAATATGAAACGTATAAATAAACCAAATTTATTTTGTCATACTGATGCAAATGCTGCTTCTATACTTGATTGCAGCACCAATGTCATTACGCTAAACATACTTCCCCTCCCCAGGGCCTTGGACCTCAGCCAGTGGGAGCACTTTGCAAACTCCCAGTTTACATCCCAACTACAAAGTGCCGACAATAACACACACACACACACACACACACACACACACACACACACACACGCATACACACACCCTCCCCGTCCAAAAATATTCCAAAGCGAGGTGTTGGAGTGAAGAGGCTTCAGATGGAGCCTGTCAAAATGATTCACTTCCCTGTCAGGCAGAGTCTCAAATGAAATAATGAAATCCATTTCAAGGTGGAACAAATTTGCACAGAAGGAAGGGGAAGTGGGGGTATTTTAAAACCCGCTTTAGTACTCTGTGTCAAACAGATTGAGCCTGAGCAGGGATGCAAAAAAGGAGCACGGGACAGAGAGTCTGATGCATGATGCCTGTTGAGTACATCAAAAGTGTGTGGGGAAGAAAATGACAGGGAAGTAATAGGAGATGACAGTTTACATAATCGTCTCAATAGTGCTGATTCTGGAGAATTGAATTCAGAAAGATGAGAAAACACGTCCGGATTCAACCAAAAGAAAACTGACAAAACCACCGATAGACAGACATGTTGACGATTCATAGATGACAACTGGATAGAGTCATAAGTTTGGACACGCACAGATCATGTGATATCTCACTGAAAGTTTAAGAACGCCAACAGTAGGTGCAGCTTTATGGCTACTAAATATATTTTGGAACCCACAAAGAAAAAGGAAGTTCAGAAAGCAAAATTATCAAAAACATTTGCTAAGTTTTAGTACATCGTGCAACGCAGACAAATTAAACCCTCCATAGTTCGAGTTCAGTTATCACTGTAACTTTATGGTGATGATGGACCCAGTGTCCCCTATTTCTTCCACCTTCTCCTCCTACAATGACAACGCTTACCTTCTTGAACAAGGGAAGGTGTTATCAATATTTGCTTTTTAGTGGAAGTGAAAAGTAGGAGCCATCCTCCCCCTTAAAAATGTCCTTAAGGGGTTACGAGAGGAGCTGCAGCAACCAGAATTTTGTGGCCCATATCCTGAAACTAGTGCTGCCAATAGCGGTAAATGGAAAGAACTATAAGCTAAGACGATATAAGGACACCATTGAAAATATTTTTCAGCCTTCCTGCAGCGAGCGGTCATTATTTATTTATGCTACGAGCAGAGGCTACATCACGCTTTATGTGAGAGAGCAGTCGCCCCAAAATGAGGTTTTACTACTTTAAAACAAAAACAAAATGATTCAAATGTTCACATTTCAAACTATCTTTGGCGAGAAACACGCCTAGCATGGCTACCATTACTTAAACAGCTGTCTTCACATGCATGCCCTGGATAACGTGGGCCCTTTACGCTAATATTTCCAAATCCAGAATGTTTCATAAGAAATGCCAAAAGCTCAAAAGCATAAAACAAACCAGTTTTACTGTACTTCATTCAGTGTTCCTGTTAACTGCTTAGTCTCATTCTCTATTGCTTTCTCTTATCCAGGAATAATAAACCAGAAAAACACCTCCATAAGCTTGAAAACAAAAAAAAAAATATATATATATATATTATATATATATATATATATATATATATATATATATATATATATATATATATATGTGTGTGTGTGTGTGTGATATATATGTGCCAGTCATGTATTCCTTTTAAATGGCTTCTTGCATATCTGCACATCTCCAGGCCTTTGTTAAACAACCAACTGATGCTGAAAATAGCTACCTTTTGAGTCTTTACCCTGTTGTTGGCACGACTTGGTAGCCTGCATGCATGGCGAATTCAATGATTGGGGAAAACAAGATAAAACAAAACAAAAAATATATATAGTCGAGTCGATAAGTCATCTCAGAACAAGCCAATTTTCTCTTTGTCTTCTGTGATCATCACAATGCTTACAACTCTCACATGTGTTTTGAATTGTTAGTCATTATGAATCATGACAAACAGCGCCTGTCTGACAGACTAAACAGACAACACAAGATAAATCATATTGCAGTATTAAAGTGGAGTTCTAGTTATAACCTTTAAAAAACATATTAAGAGTCTTGGCTTGATGAAAGGTTGTCCTGTAGTGATATGTTAATTACTACTCTCCTTGTAAAAAAAATTTATAAGTCAAAAAATTTTGCAGTCTTCTAAAGTCAACTTGAGCTTCAGTCTCAAATGACTAGAGATCTGCGTGTTTTATTCATTTTTTCCCCAAAATATCTGAGCTGTTTTGAAACTGCTTAGCAGAGAAAACACTTGTTGCTACATGAAGGATGAAAACGAAGAACTAAACTATATCGACATGATTGACTTTCACAACATTTCTTCTCTTTTTATCCTATTAGTACAAATGTTTTACTTCAGCAACCAAACAAGTTACATACATGTGCTAAGTACATACAAACTAAAATGACCAAGTATTTTCTAAAAAAATTTATTTTATTGCAAATGCCAAACAGCATGTCTCTAAGCTACAATGGAAAGCTATGACATTATTGTGATAAAAATAAGGTTTAACTCGTAGATGTAAGATGCACATGAAAAGTCAAATGTTTGTATTACTCATTACAAAATCGATTTTTAATTAAAGTTTATCCATCCATCCATTTTAATTATTGTAAGTCCAAACTCAACCAGAATTGAATTATGCCAGTAAGATCTAATGGAGCCTTTTATAAGACCACACATTTCCTTTCAGATTGTTTCCTCTCACTAAACAGCAGCAACAAAACCAGACGTCTACGCTGCATTAGAAATCCCAAATGATTTCCACCCCGGCCAATACGCCTTCAAGTACAAAACACTCCCTTCCTATCTCTACCACAGATTGACTTCTGTATGCCAGTCAGTTGCAAATGTCAGCCGAATATCCCTACTATCAAGGGTACTTTTCTAACTTATCCTGGGTGGCTGGGGGCTAGCGTATAGTCCCACATCCTTTATACCTCAGACAACCCTGAGTCTTGGTTAGATAAGATAAGCTGAGGCGTAATGGAATTAGACTTGACAAGACCCTCACTCAGTGTGCTTGCCTTTGGTGTCTCCTTAACCTTTCGAAGACGTGCACGAACCTTCTTCCCAAGAAGGGTCTTCCTGACTTTTGCACACACTTTAAAGACTATGTTATCCCCACCGCATACCCCAAGGTGCTTGGATTCAAACACTTCCTCCTCTTAAATACCTTTTAATGAAGTTTAGAAGTTTGCTGTAAATGCCAAGTCTCCAAGCTAAAGTGACTTTAATGGAGTTGTGCTTTCCCAATTTTCTCTGCTGCTGTTGCAAATTGTGCAAATTACCAGCTGGGTCAAATAAACTTCATATTCTGCTGCCTTCTTAATGTAAAACAGACTGATGATGGAAATGCTCAGGTGGTACCTGAGTGGGAACAGGAATAAGAAGAGTTCAGACACACTACTTGTTGTAAAATTGACTGGAAAACGACTGCATATTACCCACTTTGTAATTATTTCATTTAATTAAATCAAGATGATGAGATATATTGTGCTGCTTATGATCTCTCAACCTGTGAATTCTTATAGACATCCAAATTAGAAATGAGGTTCATTTGTCAAACTGATGTAGCTTTTGAGAATATCAACCTTTAAGGAAAATTTTTGCTAAACCCACATTTCAGCAATAAATGTTTTTATATTGCTATGATGTATTATTGAAATACATGCATTTTTATTAGCTGTAAGCAGAAAAGCCACCATAGTTAACAGAAATAAAACATCAGTCTGTATATAATGTGTTTCACATCGTGAACCGAGTTACTAAAATGCATTAACTTTATTCTAATTTACCGAACATGACTGTAATCTTTTAAAACCATCATCATGTTAAAAGGTTTGAGGGTTTTTCAGGTGAGTGAAAAATGTTCCGTATTCAAGAAGCACAGAGAGGGTTTACAACAAACACAGTGAAAAACAAATAACATGGTCCTCTGAGTTAATATCAAACCTCACATAAGATAATTTAGACGGCAAAGACCACCGGCTCCAACCACGAAATTGATTCTGAGCACAACAGTGGATAAGCTGCGAGCAATTGAAAAAGGGCAACTGCAGTAAGCATCAAATAATCTAAATGCATCTATTTCTTTGCTTTTTGTGTCAGACTGATGGGTCTAGCCCAAGGCCTTGAGGCATCCTTACTTAGGACAACACTGCCCCCTGCAGACTGCTTTCTGAAACACTAATGAAATAGTATTTATTTAATAAAAGTGCATTGATATAAAAAAAAACTGTCATTTTGTTTGGAGCAGTGTTGATACCTTAATACTTTTTCTGATATCATTTTGTATTAAAGCTAATAGAACTAGTGTTTTTAGTAATTCATTTTTTGTTCTTTGCATGTCAAAAATGACAACATTGACTTACCTAATTGAAAAAACTAAGACTTCCTATCCTCAAAATGTTCATAAAACATAGCAAATCTGCTAGTTTGTGAGACATCCATTTGGATGACCTAGTATACTTTATTTCCATTCATCACCACTTAGTCATTCAGAGATGTTTGACTCATTACTAATACATCTAATAATATCAACATATGAAAACATTACAAAAGACCTGCAAACTTTCATAAATCAAATCTCCAAACAGCTAAACCCAACCTTTATTAGTTGAATTGTAGCTGTGAGATGCATATAAAAATGCATCTCACTAAATCAGGATCATGGGAAATTGCATTTATTTTTAATTTGTCATTTACAAATTGGCATATAAGTGTTTGTTTCCATCAATTTGAACAATTATGGCATCAGGTAATGAAAAGCTACATTGAAGGTCCCAGTGTCTGGAGAAAGAAAGGTCAAAATCCAAGATCCAGTTTGAAATTTGCACAATCAATGATGGATTGGGAAACCCTGTCATCTGCTGGTGTTGGTTTATTATGATTCATATAGTTCAAAGTAAGTTGCAGCAGTCTATCAGGAAACTCTGGATCACTTCCTGCTTCCCTCTGCAGACGCTGACTTTCTGTTTCAGTCCACTCTGCCAAACGCTGCATTAATGGTCCTATCGGATATTCCCATTTTCTAAAACTGAGTATAAAAAGTTCCTTAGCTGTAGCCATAATCATCAAAATTAACAGGAAAAAATGCTTATATATAGATTTAACTTTTTAAAATTAAATTACTAGAATAATTTAGCTTTTCAATAATAATCTAATTCACTGAGAAGCAACTGAAGGACTTGCACAACTTATACAACACAACAATTACCCCAATAGCAACTGCCAGTGAGTTTGAAAGGATACTCTCTCTCTCCTTTGCTATCATCAGGTTCTGGTGCTCCAGATCCTGGATCTTGCGTTCAAAGTTTCCTTGTTCATTTTTCAGACGCTGCACAGACTCCTCTTTCTCCTCACTTACTCTGTAAACCAGCAAGGCGCATTGTTAGAGAGTAAGGAAAGGACAGACTGTCTACACGTAATCTATGACACTAAAAGATCTTTAATTACTAACATTTCAAAGACGCTCTTTACCATGATTCCACGTACCTGGCCAGCTCTTCAATGAGGTTTGCAATTCTCCGTTTATCTTCAAAACACAGGTCCTTCAAAGAGATGTCGCCCTTTGCTCTGCTGCTCTCCTATGTTAATAATAATTAAGAGGTACACAGAGTCAGCAATGAATCGATAAAGTGACAATCTCCCACCGTTAACATCTATGAGGAGAAAAGAAAAAGCACCATGTACCGGAAACTGGTTTACCTGTGCCAAATGAAGATGAGTACCATTGGGCTGAGAGAGGGTGTGCATAGTTGGCATAGAATCCCTTTGATCCCCTGATGTTTCCTCTGTAGTATAACTCTCAGAGTAATCACTTTGATAGTGGCTTTGTTTTCTCCCTGTCGCCTTAAGTGAAGCTTGACTTTTGCCAGTAGGAGCATGCTTCACTCGGATCTTGGTGTCTTTTTTTCTGGACGAATAGATTCTATCTGGGCCCAGACCTGCAGGTGTCTGATTTTTCAGTCCTCCATCAACTCCTAAGACAGTTAACAGAAAGAAACAACAAGCAAATACAGGAGCCTTTATACAGGATTCACACTTTGAGATGTACTTTGGTCAAGAACTGATAAAAATATTATTTCCAAATATATTTTTGAAATAATAATGTCATGCGAATCTTGATACATAACATGGATAACCCAGCCAATGGAAGATACACCAAGCATACTTTAGGCTCTTCCACAATTTTTGCTACCTCAATAGCCCTGACCTGTAAAAACATGACCTGCACTAGAGCCCTGAAAGTCTGCTGTGGTACCTGGTACCAAGCAGTTCCATAAAGTCATGTAAATTTTGAAGTGGGTAGACCAGACACCTGACTCGGTTGAGTTCTGGGAATTTGGGGCTAAAGTCTAGACATCAGATTCATTTTGATCCTACTAGCAGAAATGGATGATTATCTCATTTTAAGATTTGACTGACAATACAGTGTAACTTTCATGTCATTTCTTGGCTCCCTTTGTTAGAAGTTGAGATTTTTTTTTCAGCCCTTTTCACATGTGAAGGTGCAATTTACATTTTGACTAGCAATTATAATTGGGGGAGGAAGGGTTAAGGCTATCAAAATATGATAAGCATGAGTAAAAATACCAATTTCAATGTGTTTTTACACATATGCAAAATAAAAATAAAAAATGCTTTTGCTGAAAACAGGAGACCGCTAATTGTAAACTGGTACTTAATATCCATATTGACCCTTACAAATATATTGTCAATAGACTAACATTATTCTATTAATATGTTGTTTCTGGAAAAAATGGCTATGAAATTTAGCGTTTTCAAGTAATTATGCAAAATCTTTGGGGATTTGCTTTGTAGTGTAACAAAATTAGAAAAGGTGATTTTTAATTGGTTAATTAGTTAAAACTATCTACTCAAATTGGAAGAGATTAACGATGCAACAGAAATTAGTAGTTCAGTTGAGCTATGCAACATTTCAAAACTCCCGAGATTGAATGAAGTTAAATCTTGGGATTATTCAAACATATACAAACCAGTGTATCAATAAATTAGCCTTGTTTCTACCGCTAGTTGCTCGTCAGTGTTATTCATACTGAAATAACATTAGGAACTGCTAAGACTCGCCGCAGGCTACCGTGTGATTACGGAGTTCACAGTACTGTAATTCCTGATACTAAAATAAATGTAAGCAACTTAAACTTCAAGTAGCCAGCTAACACTTTTGCCCTACTTCCTTTCATTGAGACAGCAACTTTCCTGTTTGCTGCTCACACAAAAAGAAAGCACAAAAGCAGGACCACTTCAAACCCCCCAGCTATTTCCAAAGCTCGTACGGACGTAAGGTACTCTGTGAAGCGTAAAAAGTCAAATAAAAGTAGATATACCGAAATTCTTCCAAAATATCCCCGAGTTTCCACTTCTCTTTGCAGCCGCCGCCATATTGAAACAACCGCCACCACTCCCAGAGAGCCAAGCGTTGCTAAGGAATGGTGGCCCCGCCCTTATTTTTCAACTAAGAATCTCATAGGGCGAAGTGCAAAAACGCGGCGTTCTTATTGGTCAAAATATGTGTCAGGTTTGCTTGTAAACTGCTCTTGTCGCTTCCTATGACTCGATGCAGAAGGAAGGATGCATGGAGGATTTCTGACAAATTTCTGTTAATATTTGTGCAGAAATTATGATAATGGACGACACAAAAGATGCGTTCGTGTTCAAAGGTGTTGCTGAGAGGCTGACCCTCGGAATTACTCGAATACTCGGTTTGTTATCGTCTTATGTGCGTTATTGTTAGCCATTTACGATGAGACTAGCTTGCAAGAAATGTGTTACCTTTTAAACATGTTTTGGTTTTTGTCCATTTTGGTCCAGAAAACATGCCGGGGGTGGTGGATGTGCGCTTCGCAGAGAGAGACCCAGCAGAAAAGAGGACCCTCCTGTCTTGGGAGCAGGTTGAATAAAATTAGCTCCTTTTTGTGCAGCTTCAAGAATTTAGTTGAGCCTTTTGTCATATTTACGCGTAACTCGTTGTATTGTTCCTCTAGAAAAACACGTGTATTTTACCAGAGGATTTGCGAGACTTCTACCTGACCACTGACGGATTCACATTGACCTGGAGCGTTAAACTGGACGGTAGGTGGCCTCCTAGCACAGCGTCGTGATTTTAGCAAATTACCATGTGCTAAAAGGTCATTTATTACAGCTATAAATGCTAATTCCTTATATGTTTATTTATTGTAATTTCAGAAATGACGGTTCCTCAGAAAATTACAGTATTGCATAAAACCAGCAGCTCCTTTGAGCTTCTCAGCATGGATTGCTCTAAAATGTCTTCACAGACATGTGTGATGATTATGACTCGACATGGATAGACTGTAATCTTTCAAATAAAAAAAAAGTTACTTTCGTCTGAAAAGAGCACTTCCTCTTCAAGCAGCAGCCCACTCCTTTTCCTTCTTCGAGTAGGTGCGACAGTTTGTCAGTGGTCCCTCTGGCACCTTGTTCCACCAGACTTCTTCCTTTCACTTAACTTTCTGTTCATATGTCTGGATGCAGTAATGTGTGAACAACCATCTTCTTTGGCAGTGTCTGTTTATGGATTGTCCTCATCATTGACCTTTAGCTTGACAATTGTCAATTCAGCAGTCTTACCAGTGAGTGTATGCCACAATATAAAAAATAAAGAAATTGGGGGTCTTGTGTAATGACATCGTTTTCTGAGAAACAATTCTTTCCCTGTAAATCCATATAATTTTAGCGTGTGATTAATCTACATGAGTTCCCATTTTTAAATGTATTAAGATAAACAAAATGTTCTATGAGTACTTATTTTTGCTCTGCTGATATTTCACCAACTTAATTAGTGAGTTTTTAGATTTATTCAGAGCATATTTAAATTATGTCCACTAAAAACGGCTTTTTAACATTTTTTAATCCGTTCTTCCATGACTGTGTTATCTTTCAGATGAGTGTGTCCCTTTAGGCTGCATGATGATCAACGGCGTGGGCAGGCTGTGCCCGCTGCTTCAGCCCGTATCTGTTTTCTCTCTACCTAACGCTCCCTCACTGGCTGACCTGGACTGGGAGGAGAGCAGCTCAGAAAGTGGTAAAGCTCACCTGACTGATTAACGCACATGCTTCATTCCAACAGCCTCCGCGTGCCACTTTCACTTACATCTATGCTACGTGTGCTTCTTTGCACAGGAAAGTAAGTATTTGTTCAGGATGCATTATTTCCTCTTTTTGTCAGGATTGGAGCGTGCACCACCTGTGCCTCATTTTGATGCCCGGAGTCGTATTTATGAGCTGGATTCCTGCGGCGGGAATGGAAAAGTGTGTCTGGTTTACAAAAACTGCACTCCAGGTGTGTTCACGTTTACACAGTGTCACTTTTATTAATTAGAAACACAGAGAAGACCTAAAGACGTTGAGATTTTCTGTTACATCACGTTAATTTCGCTGTTTTGTTTTTCAGGAGTGGTTGCACAGCACAGTGAAATCTGGTTCCTGGACCGCTCTCTGTGCTGGCATTTTTTGACTGCAACATTTACTGCCTACTACAGACTGATGATAACACACCTGGGCCTACCTGAGTGGCAGTATGCCTACACACCATATGGTCCAAGCCCACAGGCAAAGGTAGATAATGGGAGGATGTAAAAAAAAAATTTTTGTTGTGTCTTGTTTTGCTATTTCTTATCCTCAACTGAAACCAGATATTTACATATATAATAAGCAAAAAAGTGTTCGATGTGGGTCTCTTCAGTCTTGTATTTTCTTTAATCATGGGGAGACGTTCAGCTTTTTTAATGTACTGTTAAAAAAACAACAAAACATTGTAAAAATCTGGAGGACTTCTGACCGTAGTTCTATCTGATTTGGTATTCTTTAGCACAATGGGGTTTTTCTTTATATATATTTTAAAAACACATCTAGCTACTGGTTTAAAACATAAAAAAACAGCGATGGATATTCTTTTATTTTTTAATCCTATGTTCTAATCTTCTAACTCTTTTGTCTCAACTCTGTTTGGAGTATTAAGTATATCTTGTGTTCATGTTTCTCTGCAGCAGTGGGCGTCCCTCTACCAGCCCCTGATTTTCAGCAATGAGGTTAGCCAGACAGATTCAGCTGCAGATGTCTTTCTAAACAAGCTGGATCCCACAAAGGCCTTCAGAGGCAAAGCCAAGGTACCGCCCCCCAAGAAGAAGCAGTCGGCCCAGTCCAACCCTGGAGGCGCTGCTAAAGGGCAAGGGAGCGCAGGAAGACACGTTGGAGCAAAACGGTGAAACCAATCCAATCTAGAGAGAGACGTTTGCTGCTGTGCAGCTTTCATTTTGTCTGTTTCACCACCACATCTTCAAAAGACTGATCTGCTATCACCTGCTTGCTTAAATGCAGGTTTTTGTAACAGAAGAGCATGTTGTGGAGCATGCGTAGTCTATAACCAGAATTTAAATGGCCTTGCCTGTGTTCAGTTTGGTATTTACAAACCAAACTGAACACAGACACATGATGCCGACACCTTGAATGTCGACAGATTAAAAACTTCACCATAAAATGAATCCTTTTGAGCTAACCTTAGGCCAGTCACTGGTTTCAAAGTATATAAAGATTTTGCAAAAACTCTCAGACCACCACTTGTGTTGATTTTCATGCTGTTGCAAAAAAAACTGAGACAAGTATACCACCCATCACCAGCTAAGATTAGAAGTTTAGCTTGAATGCAAAAGGGAATAGAAATGTGTGCAATAACCACTGGAAAACTGCTGCCGTAGTTATTATTATGTATCCATTTTCTAACACCTTGCCCCTAGTGCAGTCGGGAGGGGGGCTGGTGCCTATCCCAAGCTAACGTTCCGTGCGAGAGATTTATTTTATATTGTTTTCTTATTTATAACATATAGAAACTAACATAATAATTAAATGTAACTTATAATGTATACAAGATTGTTATAACTTTAGAAGCAATATGTCAATACTGCTGCAGAAATTATGATTGTCTCCAATGTTTTGAATAAAATGACTAATTATTGCTACACTTTTGTTGTAAATGTCTGTGTAGGTGTTGTGATAGTTGCTCTCAAGGTCGTCATAAAGTGTGTCTCATACCGGCCGATGCCTAATCTGAAAGTCATGTTTCTTTACGGTCGACTGTGAACAAAATTCACAAAAAACTTTCAAAGCTATGAGTTGAAAAGGTATGTAAATTGACACGTAGTCCTTTCTAAATATCCTGTCTGGACACAAGATTTTATACAAGGAAAACAAGACAATAGGTCTAAACATTAAACACAAAATGGTGAAAAGGATAAACTGATTGGCCCCCTTTTATGATTTTGTGTGCATGAGGATGTAAGGACATTTACTCAACCAACAGGCCAGGCCCCAGGAGAAGGTTACTGTCGATGTTATCACTGACGCGGCTGCAGTTTCATGCATTTTTAAACTTCTCAAAGTTTAAAAATGTCTTTGAGCACTGTGACTTTGAATGCCGTGGTTATTTACTCAATGTTGACGAACTAAAGGCATATATTAATATATTGCAGCATTTCAGAGCATCTTTTTCTATCTGTCACAATTAATGTAAAAAAGAAAACCTGATCAGACACCATTAATCAATATTTTCCAGACTTCTAGACTTCTGTGCTTTGAACTGACGGAAATCTATATGAGGGAACTTATTTTAGTCCTTGTGATGCCGCCCTTTGAACACTGTGAGGAGCTGGCTCCTGCTGCTTCTATTTATTTTCAAAAAGTTGTTTATGTCTTGCATACCCTGACATTTCACGAAGGACCCCAGGCCCTGATCACTGCCGTATGATCTTTTGCTTTATAATACTTATGTCTTCCAAGCATGTCAATGCCGCTATTCCCAACAGGAGAGAAGAAACGAATCACAAAATAATTGTTTTTAATTGTCTGTGTGGCAAGAAACGTCGCTATCTTTGTTTTAAGCATGTTAATTCTTTCATAGTTTAAAAAATGGTAAAAACAAGTGAGCAGAAAACTTTGCAAATTGGTTTAATTTTTTTGAAATTATGGACAATGCAGGTATTGTTCAAGTGATTCAGGAAGGTCGTGCAGCATGTTTCAACAGCATCCTCAGATCATCACAGCTGTACAAGCTCTTTGTTGTTTCCATTTTTTCAAGTTTCATGTGGAACAGATGTTTCGCTTCTTCTTTGGAGGGAGAGATTATTCCTCAATGGGATCCTTCGCCAGGTACTCTTCAGAGACGGGTGGGTGGTGCATTTGTACACATACCTTGTAAACCCCTGCTCCCAGCACTGCACCTAGGGGAGTAGCCAGTATAGGGACCCAGAACCAGCTCTTTCCAGCCCTACAAAGACAATGACAGACATATCGGGCTCACCAAAAACAAAGGACAAACTTTATTTTTAAAGTTAGCCGCAGGGTATCTCAAAACATTCTGTGTTTACCTGAATACCTCAAAACCCCAGCCTGCCATTGCAGTGAAGAGCCTAGGTCCAAAGTCTCTGGTGGGGTTGATGGCATAACCACTGTTGCTGCCCAAAGAAATGCCAATGAGGGTCACCAGGAGACCCACAAAGATAGATTCAGCCCCTTTGGCAGCTGGTTTGTTCTTTTCGTCAGATAGAGCCATCAGACACAGCAGCAGTATGGCCGTGCCAAACACCTGGCAAACACACCACAAATAATAATGAGAACACCGCTTTCCACAATATTAAAAATGCAAATGTGCAACAATGCAACACAATGCAAGCAGCAGATTTTAGATTGTGATGGGACAGAAAAAAAATGATACAAGTTTGTAAAACAGTTGAAGAAAGAAAAAGGTATGAACTCAATCAATTTGATTTGTGGTTGTAATTCTTTAGTTAAGTTTCATGGCTACCTGGTCAACAAAGCCACCAAACACAGAGAGGTATGGTGCTGGATAAGTGGCAAAGATCCCAGCCGTGGCTCTTTCTCCAGTAACAGTCAGGTTTCCACCAGAATAAGAAGAAATGGCATCTGTAAGTGAATAACTTTTTATTTGAACCCATCAAAAAGAACAGTAATAGTGCATGCCAAGTGAATAGTATCAGCAGACTTACCATAGTAAATACCATAAACTGTTGCTGCAGCAAGAAACGACCCAATTAGCTGAGCAAAAACGTACAAGGGGAGCCTCTTCCATGGCAGCTGGCCGAAAACACACAATGCGAAGGAGACTGCAGCATTCATATGAGCCCCTGGAAAAGAGGAACAAAAGGGTAACAAGAGTCATGTCTTCTGCATATGAACACCAAAGCCTTTGACGTTATTTAAGGGATCTGATCTCTTACCGGAGACAGTTCCTCCAATATGAACCCCCATTGCAACAGCCAGGCCAAAGCCAACGTTGATGCTGAAGAACGTTCCAAATCCTCCTTTGCCAGTCACAACCTGGGCCACCGAACCCAGACCTAATGTCTGACAATAAAGAAAAAAGGAAAAAGATCAACTTGTGAAAACCTTAACTTTCACAAGTTTAAGTCAAAGTTACGTTTTTCTCAACAAGTTTGAGTGAAAATGTGTAGTGGACCAGAGGATTTTGTTTTTTTTAAATCAAACATTCTCCTCCTGAGATTTATAACTTATTACATTCCCAGATGTTTGGGGAAGGAAGTTTTACCATGTTAACGCTGAATACGTTCTGCTGTTTAGCCAATTTTATTCTGCTTAATACTTTAAAATGTTACCTTTGTTTTAAGTGCCCATCCATCATTAAACAGTAACTACATTCCATCTACTTATAGACAAATCCAATAAAGACTAAAACCCTTTGTACCTTCAAGCATCTCTAGGCGTCTCAAATATCGATCAGGAGATCATTTTCATCTCTTCATGCCCGGGACTCTTACATGTTTGAATAAGAATGAACTCGACTGTCTCCAATCAGTCCAAATGCAGTTGTACAGCTTCTAACAAGCACACAACAGACACAACATATTGCACACATTTTTGTCTCGTTGCAGTGGTTGTTTTGAAATGTCTTTTACAGTGTTAAGCCAACACAAGAATGTCATAAACAACCCAAAAATGGGGGGAATTTCAAGTTACCCCAGCAGTCTAGCAAAACAAAACACAATCCCAATTAAGTGGGTCAAGCAGGTCCCAGAGAGGACCTGCTTGGTTCAGAGGCCACTTCAGTGGCAACTGCAAACTCTGGCAGAAAGTGTCTGGTGAGCAGCCAGACAGGACAGAGAGGGCAGAATCAATCAGTGAAGGAGGTAGATCAGCCTTGACACCGTCAGAGGACTTAGGGATAATAAAGTGGCAGGCCATCCTCAACCCTCTCTGGGAAGCTGGCCATCCCTCCCTTTGAAATGCAGTCACGTGGAATGGAAGGCGGCTTCTGCTTGGCCCTTTTGCTTTAGACGTGATGTTGAGACAGAAGTAAGCCATCCTCCACCGCCTTTTGTGGATCTAGGTGTCTGAAGAGGCAGACTGTTTAAACAAAGTGCTGCTTGTGGTGATAAATGGCATCACCATGGCTGTCAGTTTAGAACAAGGCTGGGGCTTTGGAGACCTTGGAGCCCCTACAACTCTCTTTCTTAAGATGGAAACCACAAGTGCGAAGTTGAAGGAAAATTATGTTCAGGAGGAGACTACGAGGTGAGAAAAGATGCCCCTGAAGCTGCAGGTGCAGCCACAGGTTGAAAGAGAGTGGTTGATGCTCGTGATGAAGGAAGTGAAGCTGGTTTGCTGTAAATGTCAGTCACTGGGGCTGTGGTACCTGGAAAATCTGAAACGGCCATTAATTGGAGTGGATGGATTCGCCGCAGCTAGAGAGTATGTAACAGGGAACTCAATGATGAACATTGCCTTGATTCTTTTGAAAAGAAGCTAGAGACCTTTTTGTTTCACAGAGTTGGATTTTAAGGCTAGTTTTAATGCCAGGCCCAATTAAATAAATATATTTTTTTATTTTTAGGCCTCTGTTTATGTGCTTTTACTTCTTCTCCCTTTTGGTTTTCAAATGTAAAAGTGCTGGCTGTTTTTGCCTCTTTGTCATTCTGTACCTTTGCAGCTTGGTCTCTAGTGCTGTGTTGGCACAAATAAATCTCCAGTATGTGTTGCTCTTGCAAGCCAAGAATGAAAGTAATTTGCTATATTACATCCATAGTTGAATTATGGTGAAAAAGGGTTATGTAATGCCAATAATTAAGCTGGATCAGGAGAATTTTTGCTTCAACTGCTAAAAATTATCAAATAAACCAGTATTCAATAGTTTTATAACAGATGCACCAAAAAGATTTTTTTGTTTTGTTTCTGAGGGGCGGTTTGGTTTATGGGTACAAAATGAAAGTTGCAAGAGACAAAATGTAAATGCCTAGCTACAAAACTGGCTTGAATGACACAAACTGGCCAAGACATGCATGAAACTAGAGTCAAAAGCTTAATGACACTTTTATGTTTGTTTTTTGTTTTGTTTTTTTACATATGAAAAGTGCTGTATAGAGAATCTCTACTTGGTTATTAAATTATGATTCATCATTGTCTCTTCTAAATTTCAACTCTGTGCAACACTGTTCAGAGAGAAAAACGCTGACACTGGCAAACAACAGGACATAGTCAAAGCTGGATTCTCCCTGCAAAATGTGATAAGGGTTTAGGTCAAAGGTGTGTTTTCCTTTGACTTTGTTTGCACCCACTTATTTATCCGCTAGTCACTGTCAAGATTTTCTTTTCTGTTGAGTCTTCCTTCTAGCTTCTCCTAGTGAATTAGGGATTGGATTACTGTGACCTTTTCACAGATAACATGTGCCTTTTGAAACGCTCTCTATGTGGCCAGCAGCTTGACCATTGCTCTCGTGACACAGCATTTCCTGATTCACCCACCGACTCCCACCAATCCCCTCTCAGGACATGTGACATAAAAAAGCTGCTTGTTTGTGTGCATTAGAGAGTCGGGGTAGGTTACCAGGGTGAAGAGCACGGTATTAATAATTAATAATATACGGTTGTCACGTATGCAGGAAAATCATACGTTTTGAATACAAAGGAAAGTTATTGATGAAAGAACACTACAACAGAATAATCAGGATTTCTTTCTGCAATTCTTACCATCATGATATATGTTGAAAGGAATTCAGCAACTCCCACTCGTGAGAATTCATTCAGCCAAGTCTTCGGTCGCCCTATTTCCATTTTGCCCTGCATGGCGACCTCCAGTTCCACTGACCGCCCCATGGCTTTGACTTTCTCTTCTTTGCTTCAGTCTTTTGGTAGAGGTTATAGATTTGGAGGAAAAAAAAAAACACCTTACAGGCCTCGCATCTGCAGACTCCTGTGAAAAATATATAAAGTCTGACGTCAAATGGAGGGGAAAAAAAAAAAAACTAAATCATTTCCTCTTCTCTTCTGCTTCCTTTTTCTCCCACTCTCTCTGTCTGTTTGTGTGTGTCTTTCGGCCTCCCTCTGTCTTACTAACCCATTGGGTTTGTTCCACAATTTATAGCCCTGATCCAACCCCACCTTCTGACGGATTTACTCAAAATCCACCGTCAGATCCTCCAATATGTTTTGGCCAATGAGGAAAATCAATTCGCTGTGCCCAGCACTCCTATGAGAAGGGCATGAAAAACAGAGATACAAGATCTTAACTGAAATCCATTGTGGGCCTTCCCAAGTCAAAGTTCATGTTTTTTGCAGAATTTTCACACATAAGCTCCACTGATCGACAAAATGTCCAGGTGTGAAAAATAAAGCACAAAGTATACATTCCAAAGTATTTCTTCAATGTCACAGATGATCCACACTTTACGACACAAAACAACAAAGTTCACATAATCACGTTAATCATGCGCTAAAAGCCTAACATAAAGAGGAAACGAGATTTAAAGTGAAAACAGCTGATGAAGCCTCAAGTGACATTCTGCCAGCAGAATTTACTATGCTGTTTTTAATGTCTATTTGAATTGCTTCAGTGCCTTATGAATGTCAAATAACTTTTACTCCAGTGCCACCCAGAGGCTGATATTTGAAAGATGGGGTAAAATGCAAAACCAGTCCATTTGTATGGTCCTCTCTATGGGTGGGCAGTTATCGTTTATCACTGGATGGAAGGACGGACAGACAGATGGATGTTCAAAATCTTGACCATAAGATTTTGAACATCTTGATCTGCAAGATGAACATAAATCCTGTAAAATTATTTAACATCCTGTGAAATAATTTTACAGGATGCTTAACATAAGATTTTGAACATCTTTTGTTGAACATCTTCAACATTTCACGTTGAAGAATGTCGTGTGAGAGAAGTATATTCATAATTGACATCCTAACAATATAACAGAATGAGCTGTTGACAAAAAAAGTTACCGACTGTTGAGGGTTAGGGTTTCCTTTCAGTATAGTTAATTCAGCATCAGTATAGTTAATTCAGCATCAGTATAGTTAATTCAGCATCAGTATAGTTAATTCAGCAGTAATTACTTCACGTTTATACGATCACAATAATAACTCTTCACCGTGTAAAAGAAAACTTTTGACAGTTGGTTTGTCGTAAAAAGAAAAGCGCAGGACTGTTGATCGTCTTTTTGTGTGGTGTAACAAAAAATATATATACGTGATAAAAAAATGAATTCAATTGAGTTGAATTGATAACAGATTGTTTCATCATGTAAAACAGATGTTGAATTTCACATTCAAGCTGCTTTATTTGGGGGGCCTTTTGCTAGGCGCCCCAAATTTGACCCCTGGGACAAGTGGAGTAAACAGAATGTTAAGATGCCACAAAGGTCAAGTCCATATCGCCAATTTGGCTAACACTGTGAGGACTGTGGTCCTCACAATACTTGACTATAATGTGTGGGCGACAAGAACATTTGATGAAAAACAAGGCTCGATTTTCTTAACTGAATCTCTATGGATGTTTTGCAATGTACTTTGAAGGCAAAATGAATTAAGATACAACTAATGAGTGTAGCATCTTAATGCTACCCTCAAAACGTTTTTACAATTGAAACACAACAAAAGAAAAAAACACATTACTAGCCGACACACATATATGTTAACGAGACACTCGGAAATTATGTACACTGCGGAAATTATGTACACTGCGGAAATTATGTACACTGCTCTACGTTTTATCGACCGAAGAAAAACAACAACGCGTGCCTACGACTCTTCCAAACACATAAATACTTACAAAAACGAAGTTTTTTTTTTTTTTTTTTTTTTCAAGAAACGAAGTACATAAAGTGCACTCAGAATCTCGGGGACCGTTTACTTTCTCCTAACTGCCATTCTTGTTGACAAGGTTACGGGAGAAATGAGGGTCAAATGTAGCGTGCTGCTAAGAGCGCTCACTCGGTCAGGTTTCTGCAAACGCAACACGACAAAGATCGTTTGTAATACAGATGTCAGAATGTAATGAAATTCCAAAAATGTGCCAATTTTGGCCTAAATTTAGACAGACTGTTTTCTAACTATGAACTTATTTAACAACGTATAAATGCCACTTATTTCTACTATAGACTAATTTACAGTATTTGAGCAAAGGGCATCATGCTTCATATAATCACTGTCACTGCACAACACAACATGTTTAAAGACAGTAGGCCATTTAGCATGAAAGAATGTTCACTTACCTTGTACAATCCAGTTTGTGGAAATGTTTTCACTAATACTCCCATGGGCCTTTTCTCCCAAGATGACTTGCATGTTCTTCAACAGAACTACACAGCCTTTCTTGATGTTGAGTCTGGTGTCAGTCCACTTTGCACAACTTTGTAAGGTGGATGGATATTCTCCTTTCCACCTATTCTAAAAGGTATCAGCAAGGTGTTGAATATGGTTCCATTGTTTTCCAAACAATTCCCCAAAGTGGAGCAGAAATAGCATCCATGTTCTGTGTTAGGTCCTTAGGTGAACAACTAACACAGCGTAGGATTGTCAGGGTTTCCAACTATCCAATATCCAGCACCACAGACAGCTCCTTAACTTATGTGTCTCCCTTGATGAGCCACTGTGGCAGCATGGCTGGTAGATGGGATTCAGAGGACGTTTCTCATTGTCTGTGAAGTTGGCTGAGGAGAGACAACTACTGACTGTTTGAACGTGTCAAGTTTTGCGTTTGTCTGTTTTCCTATCTAAAGGTTTTTTAGATAGAGGACACGACATCTTGGACTCCTTGAGCAAATACGAACAATAAACAACGGAACAGACGCGCTCCGACACTCGGACTTGGAAACCGGAGAAAAAGGACACGATAAAGCCTGAAACATTTCAGTGACTTTGCCGTAAAACCTGAGGCGAGTCTGAATGTAGAACTGTAGACAAAGTGTCTCTTTGTCTCGTTTGACAGCTAGAATGTCGACTACTCTGGATTGTGTGCGTTCTTGGTTGCTTGGTGTCTCGCTGAAACGTTCACATTCCATTTGTTCACTCATCTTTTCTGCAGCATCTTAGTACGTGAAGGTTTTCAAGAGCTTGCGAAAAGCCTTTCCATGAGACTGACATTTCATGTTTATCAGGGTGTTCTAGTCTCTCTTCTCAAATGACAGTTCTCTTAGGAATGCTTTGCCCTAACTTATTATGGGAGCAACAAAGCCTAAAGACTATTTCCTTCAAAAATATTGTGGTGGAAATGATGGAAAACAAACACACAAAACACAAAACACGCAATTCTTGTTGTGAAAAATGGGTGTGGGAGCATCATGGTGCAGGAATGCTTTTCTTCAGATGGAACCGGGAAGCTGGTCCAATCAAGGACAAGATTGTTGCAGGATTCAAGTTGGTCTGTCACATAACACTGATTTAAATTTGTGGTGGTAATGTGTCAAATTTTGAAAACATTTAAAGGATTTGAATACTTTTTTGCAAGGTATTGTAGGGACATGTTTTTGGTCAGTCTCACCAGTCCAAATATGGTTGCTGGCTGTGAAGAAAAGATGGAGGAACTCAATGACACAAAATAATAACTCTCAAACCAACAAATGACATTATGGTTATAGTTTGAATTTCTGACAGTGGAATTAAATATAAAATTTGAACTTGCTTATCTATAATCAACCCTTGTATGTCCTTAGGAAAAAAATTTCACATTTGAAATTCAGTAATCTTGCCCAAAGGCTTTGCACATTTTGTAAATTAACTTCAAGCGTACACCCAAACCAACAAATGGCTTGGAAGAAAACTAAAGTTCTGAAAAAGTACAGCCAATGACCCGAGTCGAAATCTCCCAGAACGTCTGTGGACAAGATCGCCTCACAGTTTGATTTAAAGAACCTTTTACCCATCCCGACAATGTCACAATGGAGATGCAGTTGCACACACTGATATATACAAAATGCTATCGTGCTCAATCTGATTCAGTTCAATTTGATCATATTCAGTGTGAGCTGAACTGTATGCATGGTTTGGTGTTATTGTAACCAGTCAGGCAGGGGTTTGCTCTGTTTGCCCTGCCATAAAGTCATAATCTGCCACTCATTAGGTCAAGGACAAGGTCAGCCCCAGCTTCTCCCTATATGAGCAATTTGTCTGAGGGTCAGTGCGGTTATTTTTATTTTCATCTTGTACTCAGCTAACCAAACATCCAAGCTACTACTCCTCTACGCCGACAGAACTCATTAGTGTACCCTCAACATGTGTTTCAAATCTTGCGGTGTGGCGCTAGATCCACAACAGATGTATTCTCTCTCATATTGCAATGTCATCCTTTACTTTTTTTATGTTACCATAAATGTTTGACAGTCAGGTCATATGTTTTTGTTTTTCCTCTACATTGCCTGGAAGTGTGACTTGGTTCTCACAGCTGATTAGTTTGATGTCATCCTGTCTCCCAGGACAATGGGGCCCCTGGAGTCACATTGAGCATTGTTGAAATATTAGTAACTTCCCTTGAGTTAAATATAAAGTGAAGTCATTAAAAAAAAAGGATCAGCCCCTTACAATACGCCATTGCCTCACTGAATGTCCAACCAGCATAAATCCTGACGCTGTCTGTTCATTTGGGCAGTCTTTCTCCTCCTTCTCCTCCTCCTCCTTCTCCTCCTCGTCCTTCTCCTTCTCCTCATTCAGTGCGCACGCTGCTGAGCGCGTAAGAGCCGCTGCAGCGTTCCTCCTCTTACTATCTGATAAGATCTCTGACTGGAAATATGTTTTTCACGGACATATTCTGCCATCCTCTCTGGGCTGCCTTGTCCGCACTGCTGGCTCTCGTTGTGCGCTTGCAGCGCAGAGCCGTCTGGGACCCGCAAGCCTGCCCCACGCGCCTCCGGGGGAAGACCGCCATAGTGACAGGGGCCAATACAGGTTGGTTCGCTTCTCACAGTGGCTCCTGACGCGGAGCCGCTGTGGCCACATTTACTTATCATCTCTGTGAATCTGGTAACAATGTGATTTGTTCTGTTGATAGTGTGGTTCAACAAGTGCTCACCGTGAATGTTGGATCTGTTCATCATTGCCACTTCATTTTTTTTCATTTCTCTGAGGGAATTTAAAAGCACCACATGCTGCTGAAGCCTGGCATGCGGGAGTTCAGTCAGTCAGTCGTGACTACTGACTGACTGAACTTCAGGCAGGCACTACTTCATGTGAACATTAAAAGAAACTGTAGAGCACCGAGGTAAATTATTAACAAATGTGGTTTTTATAGGTCAGTGTGGCTCCACTATGCATTGACCCACAATTGAAATTATAAATAAAATTATATTATAATATTATTAGAGGCTTGTAAATTAGTTTGCAAGTATGTTTTTTCATCAGGGTTAAATCTGGCAGTAATTAACAGGCGTAAAGATTTTGGTTCCGTCAACTGCTTCGGTCATTGCACAAAGTGTCAAACTCCAGTCCTGGAGGGCCACTGCCCTGCAACTTTTAGATGTGCCTCTGCTGCACCAGACCTGAATATAATAATCAGGTCATTAAGGCTCTGGAGAGCTGATCTACACAAGAAAGAGGTAATTAAGCCATTTCATTCCAGTGTTTTGTACCTGTGGCACATCTAAAAACCGCAGGACACTGGCCCTTGAGGACTGGAGTTTGGCACCCCGTCGGTCAGTCTGATACGCATTTTATTGAATTTTATTTCATTGTACTTAGAAAAGACAACAATGCTCTTTATCTAAACGGCTTGAGTACAGCTAGTGAAAGATAAACCACTGATGAGTGAACAGACATCAACATACAGACATAAAGGTTTCAATTTTCTCTTGGACTTCAATGTTTTTTTTTTTCATAATTCCTAAAATTAGGTTACATGCACAGATGCAGCAGTCCAAGCTGTCGCTCATTCTAAAATAATTTTGCAGACATGAAATTTGGTGTAATTTCACTGCTGAAGGTAGAACTGGGGTCAGGCTGCATAGACCTGATTAGGTCACTGCAGCGGCACTACGCTGTATTGACCTAATCAGTACTTTCTCATCTGACTGTGTTTCCACATTGAGACTCAATTACAGGCAGTTTAAAGTTACAGGTGGTATGCAGATATGAACTAAATACACTTCATACAACCTGAAATGAAATTCAGCCTTTTCAAAATGCTCTCTCTCCCCAATATTCATATAAAAGTTCAGGTTGAATGAAAACGTACTGATCCCCATCATTTGTTTGTCTTTGTAGACTTTTCACTTGGCAATTTGATTTTGCACTGGCAGATGTGGTGGAAACAGAGGGAGAAATAGTATCCGCAACACCAGTGCTGGACAATAAAACGATTTCAACAGTTTACAGAGAAACAGACAATGTAAGCAGCAATGACACATGTACAAGATGGAAAAGAGATAGCAGTAGTGTCAGTTTAGTTTCCACTGTTTCCTGGTTGTACTCAAACATATTTTCACTTTTAAATTTGTAAATCAACATATTTCTAGTTTGGAAAGCGACCATCCACAGAGTACTGGGGGAGTGAGCGTCAGAGCAAATGACCTGGGCTGATTAGCTAACTGATTTGTTTGAATGAGAGTAAACCCCAAAATGACTCAAGTTCTTGGCAAATTCTTGTTTTGTTACCACTGAAAAGACAACACAGATGACCAAAAACAGCTTAATCGTTTAAAAAATAATAATAATAAAACAGAATTAAACTTTTACTATGAATGAAGTACATTTAGAAACACTGACAGCAAGACCTTTAGCTGGAGCTGTTTCAACTTATTAAAATAAACATCATTTATGTTCATTTATCAAACTGGTATTCAATCAAGGCACTACAGATGATTTCCATATCATAATCTGCTTAATGGAGATGTTTTATATGAGGAATTGAAGGCAAATAAAAAGATGAGCTAAACTTTTACATTCTTAGTCAAATATAACCTTCTGACCTTACAAGGATTTCTTGGTTTGTTTGTTGAGTGTAGCCAAGAATGTGCTGATATATTTTAACCTTTGTAAAACTGAATCAATATGGTAGTACTGACAAAGGCATTGCACAATTTTAGAGTTCTTTACTTGAAGGGCATTTCAATCAGAGGCTAGATTAGGATGTCATGGTTCAAGCGTCTTTTTGGAAACAATGCTTTGTCCGTATGGCTAATCCACATTTTTATCTTATATCTAACTAGTGAACTCGTATCAGGTTCCACGTACTTCAAAAATGTAATTTATTTCTTATAAAGTAAAAATCACTGTTTCTTTTAACTGTCCCAGACACATAGCAACATCTGATGATCTGCAGTGTTGCTTTTCTGTTCTTTTTTTAATGCTCTTCATATTGTCCAAATGACCAATATATTGCCTGGCCCTCTAAGCAAATATACTTAAAGGTGTTAATATTACAGTTCATCCACAAAGCACGTGGCTGAAAATTCAGCCTTCTCCCTCTTTGCAGGCTTTGGGCTGCGTTGCGCACATCACAAAGCTGATGCAGGAGTCTTATCCAGCCACTGATCTAAATAAACATTTGGCTGTTTGCCTCTTGGGTAAAGTCCTGTAATCAAAGACAGACCACAAGCACAGGAAGATTAAAAGAGAAAAATTTGTAGGGTTTTTCAAGGCCAGTCTCACTGTGTTAGAGCAGATTGGATTTAAGATTGGGGGGGCAATGAACAGGCCAATACAGTGCCTTGGAAATGTATGACTTTGCAACATTTTGTCCAGATACGACCACACATTTCAATTGTACTTTAGGAGATGTTGAGATAGACCAACAGAAAGTAGTGCAATACTGCAAAGTGGAAACAACCAGAAACAGGGTTTCAGATTATTATTCGGCCCCCAGACAATACTTTGTTTGAAACACACACACAAACACACACACATTGTTTCTACAAATAGTGTCACAAGTCTTTTGGAGCATGACTTTGTCAGCAATAATTAAATGTTTTGTAAACGCTTTGCAAATTAGCCTGAGCTTTTTGAGACTGGATAGAGGAGTGTCTGTGAAAATCAATTTCCAATTGTTGTCTCGGGTATTCAACTGGCTTTAGGTTAAGTCTTTAACTGGGCCATTAAAACATATGGCTATGCTTTGTTCCACATTGTTTCACGGTAGGCCTGAAAGGTGAGCCTCTGCTCACAACCACTCATAACGCCTTTAAACCAGTGGGACACATGGTGCTGCGAAATATTCATTTGGGAATATGTACTTTTTTCAGTTTGAATACTTAAAATGCAGAGAAATGTGTGATTATTAGTTTGTCTGGCTACCAACCGTTAGAACCAATGCAAATACAAATCCTGCTGTTTTCAGAAAGCGCATGCATTGGGTGGCCAGTCATTGTCAGCTCCAGCGTCTGTCGGTATGGTCAGCTCCATCCATATTCCTACCAAACATGACCCCCGTCAGCGTTCATGCTGGGAAAAGAATCCTCAAAGCCTGACTCTGTTATTAGTTTCAACTCTGTGTTTCCGTTCCAGGTATCTATGTCTAAATATTTTTGCCTCATTTTGACTGGGACTCCCTAGAGATAACTTGTATAACTGGAATAGTGTTGGCTCGCTGAAATACTGGTCTTGTCTCGCCAAAGCGCCTTCTTTCAAAGTTTTTCTTTCCTTTGTATGGAACGTAGCAACTTCAAAGTGACTTCTTATGTCTTCTTATGTCTTCTTCCATTGAACCTGTTCTTCTTGCCACTCTAGAGGCCAAATCGGTGGAGATCACAGCTAACTGCTGTCCTGTTGGTAGATCATCCAACAGGAGTTATTGATTTCCACAGCTCTGCCAGAGAAATTATGGGCTTCATGTTCTGATGCATGGTCATGTCTTTTTGTTTTTTCATTTTATAAAGATGGGGGTGAGATGTTCAGAGCTTGGGATACTGATTTAGCCCAACACTGCTTTACACAACTTTCTCCCATCTCGTCATGTTCCTCTGTCTTCATGTTGCTGTTTGTTCACAATTGTTCTCCAACTTAAAAGCCCTTCACAGAAACACAAAAAGGACTATTTTCTGCTCTACTAACAATGTGACTGTAAAATGAAGACAAATCTACAAACAGTGGATTGTTTTCCTTTAACTTCACGGTATTTGTTCAATTTTGTCATGTAGATTTCTTGAATGCTTTTTTTTTTTGCAGTAATGAGGTTTTTCTACCTACAACAAACTCAAATATGTTTTTAGAAAGTGGCTTATTTGTTGTTTTTCATCATCTGACCTTTATGTCACTGTGACAGGTTAAATGTGTCTGTGTTCTTCTTGTTTTCTTTGCTCGGACAGGCATTGGGAAGTTCATCGCCTTGGACTTTGCACGGCGTGGGGCGCGGGTAATCCTAGCATGCCGAAGCGAGTCCCGTGGCACGGCCGCCCTGAATGAAATCAAGCAGACTACAGGAAACGCAGACGTCCACCTGCGCATTGTGGACCTCTCATCTATGGACTCGGTCAGAGCGTTCGCAAAGAGGATTCTCGAGGAGGAGAAAGCGCTGCACATACTCGTGAACAATGCGGCCGTATCAGGTGACACAAATGTAGAAATGAAAATGGCTGCCACTGCACGAGCGAAGCCCGTGTTTACTCCTGTCGGGCTCCACAATCCCAGCCCAGCAGCAGACTTTAACATTTGTAAATGTGGACCCAGAACCAACCCTCAGCAAAAGCAAGCCAGACTCTGCTTCACATGAGTTAGGCTTGTCTGTAAAGCAAAGAGTTGAGGACTAACTGGAACATGAACTCCCCCAGCCCCCCAAAGAGCCTCTTGCTTGTTAAGTACCATCTGTTAGGCATATGAAAGCAAAAAATAGGCAAAGGCATTCCAAAAAAGGAGAAAGCCTGACCCTCACTTTTTTGGGGATTAAATGAATCACTCTGTGACAGCTATTTGGCGTTGCAGAGTAACAGATACATTTTTTGTCCAGTTAACAAGTGATGAAGAGCGACTAAAGTAGCTCTCTGTGTTGCGACCTTGTGATGAGCGGCAGAGTTTAATGTTTTTCTTTTTCTCTACTGCATTCAGTTTGGCATTTTCTTACTGAATGACGAGCTGTGATCGAGGCCCGGGTTTGGAAATGTTTATTGGCCACTGCAGGAAATTCCACTGAAATTTATATTCAGTGTTAACAGAGGTTAAAAACAGAAAGACCACCAAACACACACACTCACACACAACACATAATGATCAAATCAAGCAATACGACAGACTAGGCGAGTAATGACAGTAATTACAGTAAATCCATTAGTTAGACAGGATTATGATGCAGTTATGATTCGATTATCATGGAAACACTGACTGTATATGTTTTAATGAGAAAGTCAGCATGCTTAAATAAAATGCTGACTTATTCTGAAGTTGGGGCCATGCATAAACATAATGTTAGCGTCTTGGGTTGTTTTGGTGTTTTGATTGTCATTATGTTCCTTGGTTTTGCATTTTGATTACATCAGTCATGTTTCTACTCTAAAGGTTTTGGTTTATTATGTTTATTTATTCCTTATGTCTAGTCATATGTTACTCATCTTAGCCGGAAATGTTCTATTTCCCCTGTTGTGTGCTCTCCATCACCCCTTGTGCCATTTTTTCCCCCTCTCTCTCCTCAGCCTGTAGCCTGTTAGCCAATCAGCCTGGTCTGTTTAAATGTTCACACTACCAGTATTTATTCACCTCTCTCTGTATCTTAATTCCTTCTTTCCTGAGGCTTCTCAGTTCTCCCTATTGGCTTTTGGTTCCTGCTTTTTGTGTTTTTGTTTTACTCTGGCTCCCTGTGCTCCCTGTGATTTTTTTGAAATCTTGTCCATTGTTTTTCAGTAAACCTTCTTCATTCACTTGACGCCTCTGTCTTTCTGCATTTGAGTCTTAAATCACCTCCACCAGCAACAAGAACATAACACATAAACAACAAGATAAAATAATAAGTTGTAAATAGCAGTATTTCTAAAATATGTAGCTAAAATATGTTTTCACAATTAATAATAACAAATATATGAAATATAAACAAACTCAAGTAAAACTGACTAAAACGGAACTAAAAAATGCAATTTTTCAGGGATGATGAATATGATGGATTTGTCTTAAAACAGTATGATGTAATAAATGTATGAGTAAAACTTGATTTTTTTTTTTCCCCTTTACTTATCTTTACATTTGTTGACGGCAGGTTTGCCCAGACAGATGACCAAAGACGGGTTTGAGGCTTCCTTTGCCACCAACCATTTAGGACCATTTCTGCTCACGAATCTGCTACTGGGTAAGGCCTGCGTGTTTTCTCTGTAACAACATCATGGACACCGACTAATATTACACGGTTCATTTCCAGTGATTTTGATCTCTCTTACATCATCCGAAACCTCTGCGTGTTCTGCGTCTTTGCTCTCCAGACCTCATAAAGCGCTCGGCTCCGGCACGTATTGTCACCGTCAGTTCGGTGAACCACAAGAGGGGTAAAGTGGACTTCTCTCACTTTCACGGCCAGAACCTCGTGTACCACATGGATCAAGTCTACAATCACACCAAGCTGCATAACATCGTCTGCACCAATGAGCTGGCAAGAAGGTTACAGGGCACAGGTAGGGCAAAGTCCAATAAGAAGTTTGATGACAACGTTACTAGCAGCGACACACCAATCCAATTTTCTCACATACTGATGCAGATATCGGAGGATCGGTATCGGCCAACACCGATCCGATACAGAAAAACAGCACTGAATTCACTCAGAATATTTCTTTTTTTTAAAACGCGCTGATAAATGCAGCACTACAACACACTTAAAAATACTGATAGCTTCCCAAGATGCTAAGCTAATGGTCAGTCAGTGCAGATAGGACAAAAACAGTCAACGTAAAATGCATAAATAACAAAAAACAACAAGAGGTTGACTACCTTGATCAAACATGAAAATGAAAACTTTCTTTCAAATGGTTCAGAAAGCGCAATTGGAAATTCTTAATATAATGTAACAATTCATAGAGCTACACTGCATCGATCTGCCTTTGAACTTTGTCACCAATATCCAATTTAGAGCCTTTTTTCAGTATCTGATCGGTGCATCTCTACTTGCTACTAATTTACTTGGAAATACAGAAAATTCTGGGTTAATACTTGAGCCAGAAACCACAATCTCAGTGTTTTACATTTAAAAATTGACAGACATATTGTGGGATTAACTCTAAAGATTTTCTCGCTTTCCTTTTCCTGCTTGCTCAAAATTGGCTGAGATTATGGAGGAGGTTAGACTGCCAAACGTGGCCTCCTCCCTCACCTGAGATGAATCCTATGGAGAACTTTCCGGCCCTTCTTAAACAGCAGGGAAGGAAAACAGTGCAGCTCTCTCCAAACAGCATCTGGCAGGTCTCGGTTGCTACTAAACAAAACCCGTCAACAAATCAAGAAGCTCACTCCAGGAAGCGAAGGCGTGCAACTGTGTTTGGAAACGCTTTTCAGTTGTTTATTGTTCTCGCTTTAACATGAAGAAGTTGCATTTTCTTAGGTGCATATTCAGACTGGACACTAATAATAGTCGTTGATGAAGAAGGAGTTCAGTGAGCAAGAAGAGAAGAGTGATGGCTTAGTGCCATGTGGATACCTAAGATAAACAAAGTTAGAGAAAAAAAACATAATTTTGGCCAGTAGTTTTTGTGCGTGTCAGAGCAAAAATCTTGAATATTGGGGTAATTCCAGGGTGAATGTACTGCACACTCACCGCCCCAATGAATTCTGAATTTATTAAGAAATGGATCAGCCCAATTCTCAGTACCTTCATATTTTTGCTAATTTCCTGGTGTCTCATCACAAGCTGAGTGTTTTTTAATCAAACTTCTAGTAGCAGTGCAAACAAAGAATGTTTGGGAGGCTATTCCAGGGAACCAACTGTTTTAAATTAGCTCTACCATTTCACAAGAAGCGCACACTGAGTAGTATAGTCAGTCAGAAGTAGATGTATGACTAACAACAACTGTCATTTCTCTACAACTTGCTAAATGACTATTTAAGTAAACGTTCACATTGTTGTGGCTATTTGTTAAGCTTGCATATTTAATGTTGCAAGGAAATTCACAAGGACTTCAGACTGGTGTGGGCTATTTCTGTTCTCTGCATCTGTTAATCCCCAAAAGAAGAATTGTTCGTTTTTAACAACCAAAAATGAATGTATCCTTGTCAGCTCTTACCTTATTACACATTTGAAGTGGTCCAAGTGACCTTTTTTTAAAAATGTTTTCTCTTATGACCCGACAGGTGTCACGGCCAACTCCGTCCACCCCGGTGTTGTCATGACGGAGGTGATGCGACACTATCCATTCTGGCTCCGTTACCCTTTTAACCTCATCGGTTTTTTCTTTTTTAAGGTAAGAGTGATGTTTACTACTTCCATGCACAGTAACTCGCGCAAAAGTTTTAAAAAACATTGAATCGCTTGCCTATTGCTCAAGTCTCGTCCTGTTACGCCAGGGTCTCGTAATCTGAGACACATGTCTGGTTTAGTGCATGTGCAAAGATGGAGTCAATCCAAAACACATACATGACATGAAAAGCATGGAGTTCCATTTTTGAAATATGTCCCGTTGTAATGACATCCAGATCACATCTTAAAAAGCGCGCACACATTTATTTGAGCATATTTTGTGTCTTACAAAGATTTCGAAATCGTTGTGAAGATACGGTCGGCGTCTGCAAAACTCGTAAAGCGAAGGTCGCACACGGGATATCTGGAACGAATCAAGTTCAAGGGCAGCAGCCAATAATCAGAGAGCGCGAAGCAGAACTTTGACCAGCTGTAAAATTGCGCAACTGATGGATGGATGATGTTTGCACAAAGGAAACTTAGCAGAAAAGTAGAAACAGGCAGGAAGAGAAGTGGAGAACATGAAGAGTGTAAATAAATGGGCTATTTACTCTAAGGTTATCCGCAGAGCAACCAGAACAGACTTTCTTAAGAAATCAATTCAGCTTCGTAAAAGTCTATGAGACCCACTGAATAATCCCTCTTCAAAGAAGCCAGACTGTGTCATCCTTTACAACTCCTGCTGTTGTAAATGACTTTAGAGAAATCTCTGACCAAAGGGGAAGAAACTGTGAAGAAAAAAAAGTGATTTCTTCCAATTTGTTTTTGTTAATTTAACAATTTAGATACAAAATTAAGACTTTTTTTAGCTTTAAAATTCATAGGTGAAATATCTCATTTACTCTTTGTTTTGTAGTTCTTTCAGTTTCTCCAATTTTTTTAAAGTTACAACTTCAGAGTATATACTTTTTAAAAGAAATAAAAATAAATCTGACATTTTTATTCCCTGAATTTTACTCCACGCCTCTCATCTGTGTTATTTTTGCAGCTTTAAAACTTTCACATCTTTTTCTCTCGCCTCACAGTTTCCCACGAGCTCCTGGTAGCCCGCAGCGTAAACCCCAATGCTTGGACAGTTTAGCGGCAGACAAAAACCTGCACCTGGTTTTAATTTTTTCCAGATGGACATGAACTGGATAACTCAAGGAGAAAGTGTACAAAAAAGAAAACCCAACAAAATAACACTTGATCCCATCAGCATTAGTGGCATCTGACAACCAAAACACGCAACCCGGATTTTCTCAGCTGTAACGAAGGAAGTTTAGTCACAATATTTTTAAAGAAGCCTCATAATATGAGCTACAGCATGGACTTTCACCAAGCTGGGTTGGAAATAAACATTTCTTTACTGTGTTCAAGGTTTTCTTCTAAATTACGAGGCGCTAACAGAAGACTTGCAACATCATCTGCTCCCTCTTAGTATTTTTGCTCATCGTATTTTTTCTCTAACCCATATTGTAAAAACTGTAAATCTAATTTTGAAATGTAGATACATCCTTAGTTTTCTTTTTTTTTTTTTTTTTGTCTGCTTTCTATTTTTATGAGTTATGCATGAAACAGAAAGCAGTGATTATTTGGTGTTTAGTCGGGGTTTAAATCAAAAATAATTTGAAGCTGTCCTCTTCTCTCGTGGGCTCAGCATCTCAAAGGAAGAGTTTTGACTCTTGTTTACAGAACTGCTCCAGTCACTTCACAGTGGTTTGCCTCTGGGCGTGAGTTGAACTTCATTTGGCTCGTTGCTTTCTTTGTGAGCAGGTCTGTTGTACATTAGCGAATCAGTTCAGGGTTTCCTGCTTGGTGGCAAGAATAACTCCATCTTCAGATGTTTTTGCTTTTGGAATGCTTTGATTCGCTCATCTCTGCAGAGGGGGAAAAAAAGGTCATTTCTCATGTAACGCATGTGATTCTCGTATTGGTCCTCATTAACTATAAATCCTGAAAAAGAAAAAAAAAAACTTCATTAAACCTGCAAAGAGCTTTTCTGCGATTATAAAAAATTCTTCCTCGCTAAAATGCTATTCGAGGTTTTACATTTTATTATTGGAATCATCTTTGACATGCTACCTTTTAACAAAATGCGCTAAAGATTACTTTTACTTTAAGAAGTGTCTGTATCAGTTTCATTTGAAAATGAACTTGACACAATAAAAATAATTTTACTTAAAAGCTGAGAGGGGTATGTTATGCGTGATTTTGGGCCTAAAGCTAAGTGTGGAAGAAATGGATCAGTACAAATCTAAGAAGATATCAATTTTATCTATGAAGAATAAATGCTATTATCACAATTATTTCATAGCAAAGATATAAGAAATGTTTTATTTAACATTTCAGGCAGCAGATCTATAATTGTGATTCATTTTTTCCACCCAGTAAGATTTACACAAAGCAAGAGATGTTTTTTTTTTTTTTTATGTTTTTTGTTTGTTTGTTTTAGCAACAGTTTTAAAAAAAAGGATGTTTAGACTTGGGTTTAAAAATGCAAAAAAAAAAAAAAAAAAAAACATGAATTCAAAGCAGTAATATTGAATAAAGTAATTCTTTGGTGGATCTGGATGTACTCTAGGGATCAGTGTGAAGCTGCAAAAGGAAATTGCCTTTTTTCCCCCTCTACTCTAAAGGCTGATGGTTGGAACTATTCATAAAGTCACAAAGTGGGTTGACAAAAAGTCTACTTCTGTATGAAGAGACGTTAGCCACCATCATATTTTACTGCAGGTCACTTGCAGGTAGAGAATGGTTTTAGTTTTGTTTCCTCCAAGCCTTTCACAAGTTTTCTTTATTTTATTATTATTGTTATTGTTATTATTTGTTTGTTTTGCCCAGACATATGAGACTGACCAGTCTCAGGCAGGTTCTTCGCTTCAGTTTTACAGCACTGTATGTAATGTACCCTTATTTTCTTCAATTACCGGGAACTGCCTTTTCATGTTGCGTAATGTCCCTTAAAACCTTTGCAGATAGCAAATGCCAGGGAAATTTATCCAGAGGAGCTTAACTTTAGTTCTGGTTCATCGGATGGGAAACTCAAGAAGACTGAAAGCTGAAACCGACTGTATTCCAGCAAAGTATTAGTGTAATAAGACCACACACTTGTGCTACCAGGTTATTATGTTCCTTTCTTAGTTTTTCTTTACCTTACAAAAAAAATTTTTTTTAAGGGTTTCAAAAGCTTGGAGAGCCACTAATTTTTAAGGTAGTTTTTACAGCACTGAGGAATCACTCAGTTGTCTGAGAACACAGCCATCCAATCTGAGATCATCCTATTTATCTGTTCAACAAGCTAAACCTCCTGCTCCTCGGTCTGTCGAATTGCAACATGGCGAAAATTTCACACCTAGCTCCACATTCACACCTGTGGCTCCTCAGAAGTCTACCTGCCCTGAGGGTTTGGGGGAGATTATTTGCTGCACACATAACTCTCTTCCTTCATTGTCTCCCTCCACAGTCACCAGAAGAGGGCGCTGTCAGCCCGATCTACTGCGCAGTGTCCGAGGAGCTGGAAGGGGTGACCGGGAAGTACTTTGACAGCGACTGCTCCCTGGTGCTTCCTGCGCCTTTAGCTCGAGACGCCGCGCTCGCCGTCAAGGACTTTGACTTCTGCGAGAAGCTGACCTCGAAGCTCTAAAGCAGCAGCCTGACCGGGACTGAAAGCCAGACAAACTAAAAGTGAACTTTTTTGTTTTCCATCAGTTTGTCCACCACTTCCTGCCAAATGAACCGCCATGTTTGTTTTATTGAGACGTTAAGTGGCCCAGGTTTTCCACGAGGTCACCTTCTCGTGCCGTGACACCTTTTGGCACATTTTTAAAACACATCTCTCAAGAATGACTCCAGAACCTCTAAGGCACGATACAATCACTTCCCTTTATTCTTTTGATTCATTTAGACACAATGAAACATCGACAGCATTCAGTGCTTTCCTTGACAATTTACACGACTTTTCCTCCCTGCGGCGCCCGAGGCCTCGCTATTTGTCTGCAGAGACACGGATGTAAGAGAGGAAAGGTGGTCACACACACACACACACTTTTCTAAATCGAGGACAATTCAAGATGGCGCCAGTCACCTCTCCGACTCTGCTCCACTATTTCATGGATGATCTCCTCGAGCACCGGGGCCACGTGATCCACCTGTCTGGGTAAAAGGCGGGCAGCTACCTCCAACTTCTCGTCCTGGAAACGACGCACACACACAAAGCGTTAGAAAATAACTGACGTTGGTCACACGGACTTTGAGGATGAGGCGGGCCGCGTGCTCACAGGAAGTCCGTCGTGTTCCATCAGAGGGGCGTGCTGGACGGTGACCTCTTCCAACTGGCCGTTCTCTGACCGAGTCTCCATGTCTTTCTTACCGTTCTGCTGCTGACGCACAAGTGCACACAAAAATAATAATAAATAAAACAAATGAAGATTAAAAGTGGTGTTGGAATAAAAAAAAAAGAGAGAGTGAAATCTTAATTTGTTTTACGAATAAATTCTTCACTTTGTTTATTTAGTTAACCAAACAGTTAAAAATACAAGTTCCAAGTGGGACACATATTTGTACCAAGGTTTTAAAACCAATAGATGTTTCCTTTCAAATAAAAGGTCACCCGACGACATCAAATCGGCTGCAACACAGCTAATAAGAGTTTGTCTTGGTAGTTGAACACAAATTCTTAAGAATCCTGCTCACACCCCAGGTGTAGCAGAAACGTTACTTTCCACATTTTGAACACACTGACTCCATTCTGAGGCCTGGTGGTGGCAGCATCATCCTGTGGGGATACTTTTCTTACAGCGTAAACAGAGATGCTTGTTAGATGGAGCAAAAAAGTTAGTTTATTTTTTAAAATAAATAACTGTGAGAGGTTGAAGTACATATCTGACTGAGGCAGAGGTTCACCTTCCAGGCTGACAAAATATCTTCATGTGTTAGAATAGCCTAGTCAAAGTTCAGAGCATGGACATCCACAGATAGACACTAAGAGGTTGCTAAAGCACCTGATTTTTTTTACTTCAAAAAAAGTGCCCTTCTGAATTTTTGTTGGGTTTTTTTTTCTGCAGTGTATACAGAAACAAAAACGTGTTTTTACGCCGGGCTGAACCAGAATTTTAACGTATCAATACAAATTTTACCGTATTCAAAAGTTCTGGCAACTACTGCTGTCTGTATTTCACTATAAGTTAAAGTTTTTTTTCGTTTTTTTTTTTTTTTACAGTGTAGAATATTAAAAATTAGCTTAAAGCCAATATTACCAATGTCACATGCAAACCCTCACACACAAATAGATGCTACGCCAATGTGTATCAATTACTTAAAGAAAAATATTAATTCAAATGTGTCTTGTAGTCATGACATTTGTTAAAATGGTCCTTGATGAATTCTGCTTGCCCTCATGTCTTATTTTACTGCAAATACAGGAAACAAGTCACCTCTGTCTCACAATACACGACTAAGGCAAAATGAGCTGGGTAACATCATAATTTTGACACTACAAAAATAGCTTTCATCAAGCTGTGTTCAGTTAAAGTGGGCTGCGTTGATTAAGTCGGATTGTCTATGCGTAAAGATGATGATGATGATGATGATGATGATGTGATCATCAGCAGAAAAATCTTTTCAACAGCACTCAGGGCTTGTGGTTAATCTCACTAATCCTCATTCTCTAAGAATAATATCTGCCAGCACCTGCCCTCCCAAAATGTCTGGGAGGTACCAATGGTTCAGAACTAAATCCATTTGAGAAGTGACAGCTACTTTCACACACTCTTTCACACACTGCACTCTATGTTAGAGTGCAGTTGACACTAAATACATCTTGTAATAACTCTGTGTGCTATTCAATGATGCCGTGTTTGTTATTGTCCACATGTTGTCTGTTGTTGTGGTTTCTCGGTTCGGTTCTGCTTTTTTCCCTCTGTAGAAACAGACGGGGTTGTTCTCTGGTTTTCTCTCTATCTATCCTCTCCACTATTCTTGCCTCTTTTTAACACTCAATTTTTTTCTGCCACATTTCTCCATGTCTGTTTCATCTTTTTTTTTCATCCATTACATTTGGAATAAACCAAAAACAATTTCTGGGAAAGTTTTTGTTTTCCTGTTACTTTTTCTTTTGAACTACTTTGTATATGTTTGTACTGTCTGTCGCTTCTTTCTCTACATTTGCAATAAGAGTAAATCAGTTTACAAAATGGCACTGGATAACATATAAACAGAAAGAAATGAGTGGCGTGTGGGAAAAAGAAAGTGTTACATTAAATCCCTTGAAAATGTTCTGTTTCGAACCTAAATGTACACATTTCCAGACCATTTTGTCAGAAATTGTAGCAGTCAGTAGCTTTTATAAAAAAAGCTACTGACTGACGTTCTGTAATCAGTTTGACCCGAGCTGAGTACCTTCATCTTCAATATCTCCTTGGGACTGAAGAAGGTGATGTGTCCCTCTGTCCTCTCCACCACCAGAGCCAGGAGGCACACCAGCACCACGCAACCCGCCACCGCTCCACGCATGCTCATCCTCCTCTCGCCTGCACACATGTACACGCGCACACCTTTATGCTGCGCATCGATTCGCTCGTTGGCGCACAGCGCATCGCCAGGGACTGACAAAAGAGCCGGAGCCCGGGTGGCCCCTGGAGGGGGAGGGTGCCAGCCAGGCTGCAAGCAGAACTTGGTGAGTGCTTGAGAGAACGATGTGACAGCAAAAGCAGGTCAGCAATTGACAAGAGGTGCAAGGAAAACTAAAACTGATAAAAGCAGGGAGAAGGACGCAAGAGGATCCCCCTGCTTATGTAAGGGAAACGTTGGCCGACAGATAAAGGAGATAAAAGGCAGGGAGAGCGGACAGAGATGAGAAGGTCTTTCTGTGGGGGCAGAACAACAAATGGCTCAGCAGATAAGACGGACAAGAAGCAGAAGGGAGTAACGGATACTCACAACAGCGACGGAGATATCTGCACTGAACATGAGCGGACGAGAAGGGGCCAAAGAGCAAAAGAGCCAGGTGTCAGAAGAAAGGAGCGTGAGGGGAAGCCCTTAGAGAGAGAGGGAAGCAGAGGAAGCCATAAGTTACTCACGTGCCGTGTCAAACTTGGTCAGTTGTTTGGGGAAGTGTTGGTTAAGATGAGCAGGGCTCCACCAGTCTGAGCCTCAACCTGTCCCGGTCAGCCTTTATATCCAGACTTCTCCAGATCCCAAACGCTTTGCTGCTGTCCTCCCTCACATCCGCTCCTCAACGAGCTTCTTCAAGGACTCTCCTCCTGGCTCCTGGAAACACAGACATTGCTCGAGGATCTGGCTTTTTGTTTTATTAGGGTAATAACTTCACCGGGCTGTTTGTCAGAATGACAAATCAGCACATGGATATTATCAGCACGGGCTTAAGATTGGTTTACGTCCCTCTCCACTGTGCATTATTTCACTTGAAACACACAAACAAGTTCAAGATTTCTCAAATTCATTTATTATCGCTTGTCCATTACATCAATGAACCACATACTAATGTGTCTTACAGTTTCTTTTGGGTCAAATAGCTGAAAGAAATTGAAAGCCACGGGACAATCTGTCCAAGGAGGTCAGTCATAAATTATCTTCTCCAAGTTATTATCAGACACCGAGTGGCATTTATAACCCTCCTGCACCCGGTGCTTGCGCACATACAGACCCCGGTATATCCGTTGCTGGGGAGTTTCAGGACTCTGGAGAGCTTTATTGATGTTTTCCGAAATATGATACTCGACTGTTTTCCTGCATGGCTGCAAAATGGTACTGAGGGTCTGCAGGAAGGAGGAACGTCCAGTTGAAAATAGTTTTGTTGTTGCATTTGGCGAGTCAAGAGCACAGCTTTATGCGTCTTCTTTTGTTCTTTTTATGACGGCGGCAACAGGACTGAGAAATCATTGTGACATTCCTGCATCTCTCGGCATCAGAATTTTGTGTTATTTTGTGTTTATTTGTGTTTTCCTGACAGTATTTTTTCATTTTGAATTAATTTCAAATTTGTAAACATTTGAAAATATTGTTAAATTCAGTTACTGTGAGCAGTTTGGCCCTGATGCCCTGAAGAAACCTATTTCAAAATGGATGTTTTTTCAGGAGGACAATTTGTGTTGTACCTTTTTTTTATTAACAGTTTTATTGTTATCATAATAAATAAAACCTTATATGTTGTGATAAGATTTTAAGATCATATCGTCCATCACTTCTGCCAGATGTAAAAAAGTTCCAGAAACTCAGCAGAAATGATTAGCTGGAGAAGCAGAAGAGTTTATTTTTTGACAGTCTTCAGTCTTTTAAACCCAAGAGCACGGTATCAGTTATTTACACACAGGTTGATGTTTTCAAGCCTTTATTACTGTTAACTGTGATTATTTTTCTTATCTAAAAAAAAAGAAAGAAAATTATATATATAGAATATCACATCAAACCAAAAAATCAAAATATAATGCAGAAATGAGACCCCAAATAAGATTCTGCCTTTGTCCTCATATAGTATTGGACCAGGTCTGCCTCTAAGGCATGAACAATTTTATTTTATTGAAATTTATGAAACAATATTGTTTTACCCCAAAAAGAAAATATCCATGATTAGATTAAAAAATATCCATGATCATCTTGTTTTTACAGTACTATTACTGTTGAATCTTGCAGAAGATGCGGGGATCTCGCGGTGCTGTGCAGATCTCGCGGTGTTTCGTGCACGTTGCAGCGTGCTGAAACTTCTCCGCTGTCTCTTTCCTCAGAGGTGAACAAGCAGAGCGGACGCGCACTGCGTGGTTCTGCCAAGACCGTGATAAAAATGGTAGGTTCAGGGTGATAAATCTGCTGGCAGTCAGACAACAGCTAAATCAATCGTTGGATATCTTCAATTGTTTATGTTTCGCGGGAATGTTTGCCTATTTTTGTGCGTTTATCGCAGCGCAGTTGTAGGCCTTTAGTAGCGGTGAGGCGCGGTTAGCCACCGCTGTTTAATATTAGCTACTGAACTTATTTCCTCGTTACCAAGACATGTCTGAGAAATATATGTGTAACTTTATTAGTAGCACCGCTTCAGACAAAAGTAAGTATGTGCTCTCAACTTAACATTTTGAGCTTTAGTTGGGTTGTTAGCAGAAGCTAGCAAGTAGCATCTTCCAGAGGGCCGAGACCAGCACGTGGGTTGGTGATGAGAAGTATTGGGTTACATAGATCGATATGCTGTTCAGTCTATTAGACATTTAAAGTGTGCATAAGTTAATCGGCGTTCTGTTAAGAGTTATTCTTTAATTATTAAATTGAATATACCCAAACTAAGTCTTTTCATATCAGCATGTTAACCACGTGTGGACACCATGCTGATATGGTGTCCACACGTGTCAACTCAATTGTCGAAGTCGGGTTTAGTCGTTCAGTCTCGTGAATTTCCGATCTACAGGTTTTGCTCCATGTGTTGTTCGAGCATGCGGCCGGCTACGCTCTGTTCGCCGTCAAAGAGGCGGAGGAGATCGGCATGCTGCTGCCTCAGGTGAGTGAGTGTCTGTGTGTGTTTTTCTGTGGCGCCACGTTGCTTCTATACTAGCTGGACTCACTCAGTGTGTGTGTGTGTGTTTGACAGGTGGAGGAGAGCGTGTTGAGTCTGGCGAAGTTCAACAGCATGGTGAGCCTGGCCGCCTTCTTCCCCTTCAAGTCTGCTCAGGCTGCCCTGGAGAACATGAACGCCATCTCTGAAGGTTTGTGTGTTGCAGCTGCTGCCGGAGAACGAAGGATGCCCTCTGCAGAGCTGCACCAATTAGGCTCTGATCGCAGCTGATTTTTGTCAGTTGGACCTGCCGAGGCAGTTTCCCTTTAAAAACTCACCCACATCTGACCTTTTATTCGCTGATGTTTTCCTGCGAGTTCCATAATAAACTGAATTCTTTAAAGATGAAGCGAGAAGCTTAATTATGAAATGGATTCCCTCATTTCTGAAATCTCACCCCTGCTAGCAGTTTGATGTAAAATGTACTTTTTTCTTAGCTCTATATCTTATGTTATTCCCTCATAATATAAAACATCTCAAATGTTGCCTTGTTTGAGAAATCCTTTAATCTCCCTCGGCAAACATTCAGCTGTGCAAGATGTTTGTTGGACCTAGCGCCGCCTTTGAGACTCGGGTCTAATTTAGAGGTGTGGTTTCCAAGCTTCTCATCTAATTGGAAGCTCCTTCAGACTATCCAGCAACAATCAGCAGATACCTGGTGGAACGGCACATCTTCTGTGCTCATATAAGCAACTTGTCAGTGTAATGCTGGTTGATAACATTGTTAAAGGGTTAATAGAAGAGCCATGTTGTGTCTTTCTGAAGGTGAAGTTTCATAAAGAGCATTAGTGTTTAGAGAGACTAAGGGTCAATTTTAAGGCGTTAATTCACAAAGTAAAATTTCTCATGTCACGTTTGATATATGCAACATTTTTATAACAATTGAAAGTAACATAGTTACTTGAGTATGGTATAAAATGGCACCTGGAAAAAAACAATAAAAAAGCAGCAGCATGGTCTGCTGGTGTAAAAATGTGTCAATAACAAGTCTGTCTTGGTTCATCTCTGCTCCTCAGCTGTAATGATGCTCTTTAATCTGTCAATCCACTGAATTGTGATGACAGCCAAATGTTAACACTGAACATCTGAGGAAAGCAGCTCTGTTCTTTTTTTTTTTTTTTTTTTTGTTATGTGGGTAATGTTTGTCGGGATTCGATTGGCTCAAGAATCTTATGTTTTTGTTCGTGTACAGGTGTGGTTCACGCAGACCTCAAGCTGTTCTTGGAGACAAACCTTCCTCTGTCTGGAAAGAAGAAGGTAGTTTTGGGGGTTTCCGATGCCAAAATCGGAGCTGCTCTTCAGGAGGAATTCAGTATTTCCTTACAGACTGGAGGTGTAGTGGCTGAGATAATCAGAGGTGAGAACGCAACCAAAAAATGGCAAGTTTGGAACAAAGGTGAAAGAAGATTTTTATTTTTGTGTGGCCTGTTGTGATGCATCCTTATCCTGAAACTCATGAAGGTTTATACTGAAAATCTGAACAGCCACAAGACCATATCACTTTGTCTTAGCTGCCAGTGAAACGTCTCAACTCGTCCTTCATCCCGACAGGTGTGCGCCTGCACTTCCACTCCCTGGTGAAGGGTCTGACGGCGCAGGCCGCCTCCAAGGCCCAGCTGGGTCTGGGTCACAGCTACTCCAGAGCCAAGGTCAAGTTTAACGTCAATCGGGCCGACAACATGATCATCCAGTCCATCGCTCTGCTGGACCAGCTCGACAAAGACATCAACACGTTCTCCATGCGAGTCCGGTGGGTGAAAACCCACCAATCGATTAATCACGATGAAGTGGTTGTTGAAATAATTCGTCAACTATTTTAGTAATTGGTTAATTGTTTACTGGAGAGACTCAGAAAAAGTAATTTCTAAAAGAAAAACACACACCAGTAATTAAACCCAAACTGTACAAGCAAAATATACAGTCAAGTTTTCCCTTAGAAACTTTCTAAGCCTGGTGGTTGGGCGCCAGCAGCCCGTCGTGTTTTTGAGTTAAAAAATGTTTAAAGTTGACAGGAAATTTTAAAATGTCATTTGATGATTATATGCTATTGAAATATTTGGATTAATACCTGAACGCCAACTATAAAGTCTTTTAAAAATGCAGACATTTAAAAAAGATTTGAATAACTAAGCAATGCTTAGCCTGGTGTCCCGCCAGGCTTATAGTACACTGGGAAAAGCCTGTACATTTTTACATATAAGATGAAAAAAATATATATTTTGGAAATATGTTCTACTCAGAACTCTTCCAGTTTCATAGAAAGTGTTTTGCATTTTGGGAAATTAAAAATGCAATAACACATTTACTTTTTAAAAAGTAAATTTTTACATTTAATGGAATTTTACTGTATAAAAAAGGCTTAAGTAGTTAAAGAGAAAAAACTACAGTGTAACTTCACTTCATAACTTCACATTAATCGTTGGAATAACTGATTCATTAAAATCATGCTTAGTCGCAGCCCTGGTTTTGATCAAGTTTGTGTTTCCTGAGCTTTTCACAGAACTGCATAATCGTGATCTTTTGTTGGATTCAATGATCAGCTTTCACACCTAGTCCTCCTCACACTTACCACAGACTGTGCATTAAAGGACCGTCTGTATTAACAGGAGGTACATAAATCTCTTCCAACATTGCTGCAGTGCTGGCTAAGGTCTTTGTTGGTCGAGACATTGTGCATGAAGGTGTAGCTGGTTACTCATAGGTTTATTTATACTGTGGTACTGGATGCTTTTTGCTT